ACTAATAAGAGGAAAAATTAAGTCCTGGCACATTTAAACAAAACAATATTATGTCTACATTTTAATAGAAAATAATGTGTCTGGCAGAGCTTGTATAGTTGAATACTGTTGTAATTGTTTAGTTGGTTGGCGAACCATAGGATGTTGCACTCATGTTGTGACTAGTGTGGTACTTCGGATGAACTATCAAGAAAATATGTCTGTTATGGCAGAATTTTTGGATAACATAGTTATGACATTTAAGTGAAGATGATGATAATTAATAAAGCATTCCACTGTAACATAGTGTTTTATTTTTTCCCCCGTTTTATTAATCAGGTATTATAATTATCGATTATTATGTATTGTAGTGCAGGCCAATGAAATGTGTAGGGCAGATAAATGATCACTTTTAACTTACGTTTTTTTTAGTTAGTACTTATGTGAGCTGTTGAAACAGCAGATGCTCTTCACTCAATTTATAGTGACAATAATCAAGTGTAAGCAGTGACGTAAGGGCAGTCGGTTTCTAGGAATTCACAAGTAAAAAAGACGTTTTAGACCTTAGATAGGCTAATATTATTATTTTAGAACTTGAGCGTAAATAGTTAGTTCTAGCACATTTATTTCGTTATATTAGGTAACTGCAAATTCTAACCTAAAAAGTAACATTTTTTAATAATTTTTGCGCTTCGTCGACCAGCAATCGTCAAACTGACTATATGATATTAATTTACTAACTTAAAGGTAGTCTTTCTTCTATACCTTGTAACTATACATACACTTTCATTATCAGGTTTTGAAATGTATAGGAAGTGGGCATTGTTCTTTAAACAAAACTTGAATGAATAACCGACAATGCTCGATGGACTGTTTTAGGTGGGTCGAGATTATTTCCAATAATCTTAAGTGAAAAAAATGTACAGTGAATATTGATAGGATTTTTGTATCAACACCATATTTTATCAAAACAAGAAAGAACAAAAAAATTTTTACATTTTTTTTTTCTAAAAACATTCCCCTCACTTTAGGATAACATTATCCTGTGTTGTAAGGACGTTTTACAAACATAAATCGCACGAGAACAAACACCCAGATGCGAAATAACTATCTGTGGGTCGCACAAATAGTTTTCCCGTGTGGGAATCGAACCCACGACCCCCGACGCTGAAGTCAATACCTCGGCAACTGCACCACGGAGTCATCTAAAATAAAGATAAATATTAATAGTGCGTAGGTATATCAGAATGACTTGGAATGTTTTCAGCTGTGATTTTGGTCATAAATTAAGGATATGTTAGATAGGGTGTCCTTATGAAAAACTTAATATTAGTTGAGATCGGTGATAGCTCACTATAGATAAACTGAGTATTGGCAGTTCAAGGATTAGTTTTTCGGGTTCCGTACCGTAAGGGTAAAACGGGACCCTATTACTAAGACTCCGCTGTCTGTCTGTCCGTTTGTCACCAGACTGTTTCTCCCGTACCATGATAGCAAGACAGTTGAAATTTTCGCAGATGACGACAACTATATCGACTATATCGACAACTTTATGTAACAAAGAATATGCAACCAACAAAAATTAATACAACACGATAAAATTACCTAAACGTAGAATGTTAACTTCAGAATGAAGGAATAATTAAAGATTATAAGAAGAATATAAGATCATGAGATATATACTTTGTAGCTAAAGGCTGGTTTTTTTATTGTGTGCAGCTTTGCGTTAACAATACTAAACAGGTTTTATATCTCAATAAATTGCGAACCTTCGCAAACACAGAGCAGAGAGAATTTTTAAGAATTCACGACAACGCGACACTAACATCGACGTAGAAGTTAAATTGATTTAAATGCAAATGCATCTTGATTCGAACGATGTTCATTATATGGGGCAAGTGTGTTTCAGAATGAAATGTTCCGCTTACGCAAATGTTTCGTGTTGACCGCGAACGGATTATGTTATTTCGTTTTTAAAATCGTGTCATTTAAAAGATAAGAAAAGTATAAATTAATTATGAGATGAAAAGGGTGTAGACCCAAAAACATACTTCGTTCAAAGTCAAGGTAAAAGTATTTGTTTTAGAGCACCCTTTAAAATCAGAATCTGTCACTAGTTCACAAAATTATATCCTCCGGAAAAGATATAGCATGAAACTGCACGACTGCATATAATTTTTTAATACATAAAATTACTTCTCATTTGTAGTCTCTGTCTGTCTAACTCAGTCTTCGATGCTCGCGTTGTTCAATGTCATATTATGCCTTTCAAGACAATTCAAGTTTAAGTACAATTAAATAGCGGTTTTATTTGACTTGCCCAGAGGAGAACCTTCGAATAACTAATTTCTATATTAGGGCATAATTCTTTCTTGATAATTAAAGTTTTTTTTTTATTTTTCAACTGCTTAATTTGTTGATAAAAACCTAAAAATAACTATATATACACATATATAAACAGTTTAAGCAAGGAAAGTAATTGAGCAAACATGTCATGTACAACATGCGGGAGTTCCTTTTTAGAGGTAGCAGATGTAAACCAAGGCTCTGAAATATCGTTAAGGACTGCAGCTACCAAATATTAAGTTCGATCAAGCCAAGGTTTTATGATATGCAGCTGCAACAAAAACTGTTCCACAAACAGATGCCAGTGCAAGAAGGCGTTGATGCTCTGCAATTCTAAGTGCCACCAAAGCAAACCATGTAAAAATAAATAACAATTTTAATTATTGAGATATGATTGTTGCTTCTATTAAAAACATTTATTATTTGTTATATTATGATTGCTTGTATTACCAATCATCCATAACTTTTAACGACGAATCATTTTGGTTTTAATAAATTTTTTTTTTCTAATTACGGAGTATTTTATTCAGTTTATCTATTTATTTTGACTATCTAGATATTCTATAATGTTTAGACTAGGCCATACCAGTTCGTCCTAGTATGCGTGTGCGTATTTATATCAGGATCAACTAGTTTGGCCTAGCCTAAACTGGTCGGGCTTAGGACAAATTAGTTTGAACTAGCCTAAACTGGTTTATTCTATCAGGCTTGGGCAAAATTAGTTTCGACTAGGCTAAACTAGTTACTCTTACCGCGTATAAGAAGAACTAGTTTAGCCTAGGCAAAACTAGCTTGTCCTGAAATCAGGTTTGGCCGGTAACTTATATAAGCAAAATCAAGTTTAATACATCCATGAAGAGCGATAAAAGTATAGTAGTAACGCGATTGAAATTTACTAACGGGTTTAATAAAAATATTAAGAACACTGGTACAAGTGTATAATTTTTATGCCATTAGGAAAAGAAAGAGGGGTTGCAGTAATTTCTTGATGAGCTTGCCTGTCATACCTAGTATTAGAGGCAAGCTTATAGAACCTGGGAACAAGGACATTTTATCTGTATGAGTAAAAGTTTTAGGGTGGTAGGGCAACCGTAAAACAGTTTTCGGTGTTGCACGAATGGGCAGGTCCGTCCGGGTTTGTACCACGACCTCACAGAAGACCGGCGTAAAGTAGAAGTGTTGCACTACTGCGTTTCGTCTGGTGTCGCAAATGTCCATGGGCAGGTGTTTATCACTTAACATCAGGTGAACCGCCAGCTCGTTTGCCACTAACTCACATAAAAAAAAATATTAGTGCTATGCTAGAGCTTTGTGGTTTCTTTCAGATGCTGAATTTGAAGTTCCAATCTGAGTATTTACTGGTTGACTCTTAGCGGTATCGGCAAAAGTTTTTCTGACCTGGAAGTTAGAAACTGCCAGTGCAGAAGCCTCAAGATAGGAGATATTATCCTGAGACATGACCAGTTTCATAGACTTTTGGCTGGACTATAGGGTTGACAAAAAAATATCGATATTTCGCGCGATATATTTCTCACTTTCGACTTTTGCGGTGTTAGGGCCTGGACCATAGAGTAAAGAAATACTACGGAAATGGCCTGAACAGAATAGGCATTCCATCTATTCCCTCATAATTTAACGAGCAGACAAAACAACGCGGGGCAGATCTCCATTCAGATAATACATGTCCGAAATGGCGACATTTCAAACATTGTATGGTTGGTAATACTCAAGGTTCAATAGGCATTGAGGTATAATAAAAATAAATATGGGGTAAGAAGGTCAGCACAATTTGTGTGGGAATCCAGGAGGTGTTATTTTCACTAGATAAGCGCCTATTGATTCTCCGTGCTTTTATTATTGCGCCAATTGGTACTGTTATTGAGGTAACAGAGTCGTCTTTGTCTGATGTCTTACCATTCCGACAACAGTTACATTGTATGATGTCAACATCATCCTTAGCAGTAGAAAGAGCAGGGTGACAAAATTGTTGGCGTCAGCTACTGTTTTAAATTCCAAAGAAATTCTGTCCTTACCAACCTTTTTAACTCCATCACAAACCACATTCTTAATATAATATGTTATAAGAAATATCCAAACTTAATGGGTTTTAAAACTGCTCCATCAGACTCCTGTTAAAGTTTTGGATACAATGTTTCTTGTCAATATAGTTAGGAATAACAAATGTTGATTGCATTGATGAGAGAGAGATGGATCGGTAATAGGCTCTTTCTAAGGATGTGATTGGAAAAGATTGTGAGTATACAAATGTATACAGTTTAAAGTATTAGTGGCATCTAAAGATAAATGTGTAGGAAGGGAAAGGGAATTTGGTTCGATATTAAGTAAAACGGGATCAGGGATAGCTACTTACTTAAAAACAGCACAATACTTAACATAGACAATAGTAAAACAAAACTAAGTTAAAATAAACAATACTTAAAGGTACAGAAAAACCCATCACTGTATCACAAAACCTTGTGCGCAAATCCCAAAATAAAAGTCATTAGAATTTAGCCCACTCTATATTATCTACTTAAATAATAAAATGCACCAATCAAATTCCTATTGCAAACTAATGTGTTATGGTTGATAAAGTCAAAAACATTTAATTAATACAGATGAACCACCTCAATTGTTACATTAATATTTTTAAAGAAAATTGGCAGAGGAAGCTATGCTTTGTAGACATCGGTGTGCTTGTAGTTGATTTTCTTATCGAGCCCAAGCAACTGGCGAATGATGAACTCGGGCAGACGTTTATGTTTCCAGCGGGTGGGCAGTGGTGTGTGGTTGGCTCTCTCGATCTTACTGGCCACATACTGTTCAGCGGAGAACTCATTTGCTGCCCTCACCATGGCAAGTAATTCATTCTGGAATATTTTCTCCTTAATCTGACGTCTGCGCTTCCTTACCTGTAAATTGCATAAGTATATTTGTCAATAACACAACATTAAATACTATAGTTTGTGACAAATGTTACAGATATTTATTGGCCACTTTCAAGTTTGAATTTTCCTTTTGCTAATTAGTAAAGAAACATGCTGTCTCTCTACGGATATGACACAGACAAGACTATGCATTTAATATAATTATGTATCAATTAATCACAGCAAAAACAGAAAAATTCTGCAAATAATCTTCTAAATACTTTAAACATTATTATTATCTATTATTATAAAGGGTTTGCAAGCAAAAAGGTAAAGAAGATAATTTTTTTAAGAATATCAACTTCAATTAATTTCAATATGAATCCACATATTAATGTGTGAGCAATGCATCTACAACGCCACAAGTTTGATTTATAATGCTAGCCAATAATCACCTAACATCAGGTGAACAATCTATTAAGCACAAATTCATCACAGTTATCGGACATTTTATGTGTTAAGATGGCAAACTATCTTGGATGGATTGATATATGAGTTGCAATGAACTGTCTACCTTTAATGGTATAGGTAACCAGTTACCTCACACAAGAGACAAAAAACTAAAGTTATAAACAATTCTTCTTTATGATGGTCAGTTCTGAAAACCAGCAGCCAACCAGGTAATTCATGCCACTGGAAAACTGTGTGATTCTTCCCCAGTAAACTAAAAGATGTTCCAACTTTTGAAAAAGCTAATATAATGTTAATATTCTAAATAGAGTGAACCCCCAGTAATCCACCCCCTATCTAAACCCCCTATAATCCGAAATGCCCTATCACTATTGAATGTAGGTACACAAACATTATTTTGAGAAATCGTCACTAATTACATAGTGATTTATTATTTATTTAAGTTCGATAGCATTATTGACATCATTTTTAATTTTATAATAAATTGTAAGCTCTCTATTGTTTTGATTTACTAAATTAAACATATATATGTAGCATTTTTTATTGTTCAGATAATCTTATCATTTTGATCAAGTGTTGTAGCTGTCCATAGGCAGTGGTAATTACTTAACATCAGGTAAACTGCCTGCTTGCTTACCAAGTTTTTACATGAAAAAATTATGATATAGACAAAGTGAAATACATACAAGTAATAAGTATAGTATTTGGTGGCAGTAGATCACTGAGTTTTATGTTTTTACTTACCCTAGCCCAGCGGTGCCTCATACGTTTCCAAAGCTTATTGCGTTGATGCTTTTTCATCTTCTTACGCCTTATAACAATCAGCCTTGCAGCATGTTTTTCCTCCTGCCTGATAGGGGGCAATCCAATCTCGTCATTACGCCAATTCGATTCGATAATTGGCAATATTGATCGGGGATTAATTATAGGCGTATACGACAACGGGTCCTGCTTTATGCGGCTCACTGTCGGCTCGTCCCTGATTTCAAAACCAATGCTGCGTGGACTGAATGTAATAGTTTTATATTTTGATATGGTATCCGCATTATGTTTAGATACGTTCTGTGGAAGCGTCTTGCATTCTTTTAAAGTACTAAGAGCACTTTTTATGTTGATCAACCGTAAATCTGAAAAAAAAAAGAATGATAAAGATACCTATTTATATCAAAGATAACCTTAAATGCACGTACTTACATTTTACGGTTTGCTGAACAGAATTCATCATATTTTACAGGTATCTTACATTATACAAAGAACTAATCTATAGCCCACAATTTGCAAACCTTAATTATCATTTAACTAAACTTCTTAGCCTAAAAAGTAAATATAAGTATTCAAACTAAAATTGAAAATTGGAATAATGACAGGTTAGGCAGACCCAGACAGGTTGACACTTCACAGTTTTTATTTTTTTTTTGTGCCCGCAGGGCCCAAGTTGTTATTTTTTTTAACCTTAAATTTAAACTAAAATATTTTCAAAACACAAAAAACGAACAAATGCGACTCGGACTCGCGCACGAAGAGTTCCGTACCTTTCATTATCTAAAAACGGCAAAAAATTATGTCTGTTATTTGGGAGCCCCACTTAAACATTTTTGTTATTCTGATACAGGCTGGTGACAGACTGACAGTCAGTAGTGACAACAGTCTTAATAATAGGGTCCCGTTTTTCCCCTTTGGGTACGTAACCCTAAAAACTATAACGTATGAACTATATTTTTAAAGTGTACATACATTTTGATGATTCTCTTATTAGTTTTTATTAGACATATTAGTGTTTCTCAAGATCTTGAGGACCGATAAGCTCAAGGTCATGATTGAGACTGGGGCAAAAACTGAGGGTTGTTACCTAGTGTTATGACTGTGGTAGGGCCATGCAACAGTCTTCGCTGTTGCACGAATAATCAGGGCCGTAAAGTACCTCGGTACTGTAAAATACCAGGGTCGGAAGTACCTCGACCTCACATAAAAGTGAAGTAGAAGTGTTACACATCCGCGTTTCGTCGGATGAGTAAGGTAACGGGGGCCGACATTATGAAAAGATGGCAACGCATCTGTAACCCGACGGGTGTTGCAAATGTTGGGTGTTGTCTTAAGGGCGGTTCTTATTGTCTTGCTCTATACAACCGCCCCCTCGCTTGTATAGTATATAAAAAGTGTCTATTCGGGATCTTTTTTAATGTGAAAACCTAAAGGCGCATTTGGTGGAAGATCAAGTTCATGTCGCAAACAATTCGTATGACAAGTTCGATTTTTTCTTCAAATTTCTAACTCTTATTATAGACTCTTACTTAATATATCCGTTAAAAAGTGTATAAAGTAAACAGGAAGTAACAATCAGATTGAGTACATAAGCTCCATGATTGTCATCCCCATCTTTACTTGCATGTCACGTCTTACGTGTCATGTGACCATCGCCATTTCAGAAATGGTCATTCCGCTTCGTGCTCTCGTACGGAACGGACGTCTCTCTAAGACGGAGGGCTCATGCCACCCGAATTAGACGCTACTCGCAACTACGGTTGCAAATTAAATCTTTGTGCAAGCAGTGCTGCAGTTTAGTGTTAGTGTAGTGTTGTGCTCGTAGGCAGGTTCCTGTTCTGTAAGTAGAATTCTATACACACTTCTCGCCTCAGAGGCGGCATTGTTTTATTTAATAACTGTGTGCTTGTTGCGATAGGCGACAGCTAGGTACCCACCCTAGCGCACCTAAAGTTCAGGTGAAATAGTTGTTAGTTTTAGGGACACACCTCCCAAAGGTTCAAGCGCCATTATGGGTTCCCTCTTAGAGGAATTCATTCGCGAACGATGCCCCGAAATGTGGCGCAGCTTTCTCGCCTTCGCCGCGGAGAAACGCCGCGTCGTCGAATACGCTAGCGACAACCCGACTTCACCGGCAGTTGCCTCGCCGCCATCTCCGGTGCCCTCTGCGCCAGCTAATGAGTCGCCTTCTGCGACACTAGTAACGCCCGTCGCGTCGACTTCCGCCGCCGCGAACGAACCCAACGCGCCTTCCGCGCAACCAATTTCGGCCCCCTTCCGCGATGTCGTTCCCGACTCACAATCGAACGGCAGCTCGGACATGGAGGTCGAAACGACCCCCGCTGATAACGCGAACGCCGACGGCTTCACCATCGTAAAGTCGCGCAAAAAGGGCAAAAAATGCCCCGCAACTGACAGCTACCCCGAATGCGAGGCCGCCCCATCTAACCGTCCCACCGCAACGCCCGCCAAAAAGGCAGCCGCGGCTGCCCAATTGGTACCCGAATTCGCCTCCGAGCGAAAAATTAAGCCACCGCCGCCAATAGTTATTCAAGAAAAGGCAAAGTGGCATCAAGTATGCTCGTGGTTTGAACGCCACAACATCCGCGACTTCCGGTCAAAAAATACACACATGGGTATCCGCGTATACCTGGACACAACAGACGATTTCCGCCGCGTAACCAAGTATTTACGCGAAAATAAGGTAGGTTTTCACACCTACTCGTTGCCCGAAGAGCGTAAACTTCGGGTAGTAATAAAGGGCGTCCCCAAAGAGTCGGATGTCGATAAGGCTAAAGTCGACATCCGCACTCAGGGATACCCCGTACATGCAGTACGACGTCTTAGGCACCCTAGAACCCGTATCACTATGGACATGGTCATGGTTGAACTTGACTCTACCCCGGAAGGTAAGGCCATCTTCAACCTAAAGAGGGTCTGTGGGCTCAGTGACTTAGTCATCGAGCCCCCGCGCAAATCAGGTGTTGTGGCACAGTGCCACAACTGTCAACATTTTGGCCACACGGCCAATAATTGCTTCGCTCACCCTAGGTGCGTCAAATGCACCGGTGACCACGGCACAACCGAGTGCACGAGGCCAAAAGATTGCGCAGATCCACCTGACTGCGTAAACTGTCACGCTACCGGCCACCCGGCTAGTTATAGAGGCTGCGATAAGGCCCCGAAAACTCCCGTGAGAAAATCTCCCGCGAAATCTACGTTGCCCAAACCCGCGCCCGTTAAATACGTTCCCGCGCCCGTACCCGTCACTAACGCCTGGGCGAAACCCAAGGTGGCCGCGCAGGTAACCGCGCCGGTAATCCCGGTCGCCTCACGACCGATCGCACAACAGCTGCCCGCCTCTCAAACGGCGCCGCGGCCGCAGGTGCAGCCAACTCCGTCAGTTTTCGCGGAAAACAAGGACGACCCATTCGCGCAAATCGCAAACATCTGCAGCCTATTAGATAGGATCAATAGGCAGGAACTCGCCGTATTGTCCGCTAAAATAGCGGCCGCCATATCTGGCAACGAGCGTCTTAGGGCAATTAGCCAACATAAAACGCTTGTGGAAGCCCTTTGGGCTTTTACGAGCCAACCGTAAAAGACAATAGTCCGCGCAATAAAACCGCGCTCCGCCGCGTCGTTAATTAGACCCATAAAAACACCTTAATGGGAAGTACAACCGCAGGTAGAACAAAACCTCGGGCTCTGGTTGTTTCGTAATTCAACGCAAACGGCATAAAGGGTCAAAGGGACGAAATCGCGGAATTCCTTCGCGACTACAACGTAGATATTTTCCTAGTGCAAGAGACATTCTTGAAACCTAGTGTACGCGATCCCAGAATCGCAAATTACAATATTGTCCGCCACGACCGGTTAACCGTCTGGGAGGCACATTAATTTATTATAAACGGTCCTTGCACTGTTGCCCGCTCGACATTCCAGAGCTAAGTCAAATAGAGGCATCCGCATGTAGGTTAGCGCTTACCGGCCACAGGCCGCTTGTACTAGTCTCAGCCTACCTCTCGGGGAATAAAACCTTACTTCAAAGCGACCTAGATACGCTTCTTAACTTAGGCCCTTCCGTGATAATTGCAGGAGATCTAAACTGCAAACACGGCTCATGGGATACCAACAGCATCCCAAATAACAACGGAAAGCATCCCTTTAGCTTATCCGATAACCTAAACTTTAGCATAGTCGCTTTCGCGACTCCCACTAGGTATCCTACGATGGACAACTACCAACACGCGTCACCGAGTGTCCTAGACATCATGTTATTCAGGGAGGTCTCGCTCGACATCGAGTCGATAGAGACAATCCATGAACTAGACTCAGATCACAGGCCCGTCCTGTGTAAACTGGGCCAGAACGTCGGCGCGGTCCCTCCGACCAAATCCGTAGTGGACTGGCATCGTCTTGAGGTCAAACTCAAGGCCTTGGACCCCCAGGACTTAGTAGACTTACCCGAGACGATAGCTACGTTCGATGACGCAAATCGAGCGATAGCGAGTCTCCGAGAAACTATTACTTCCGCAGTCACAGACTCGGAACGGACGGTGAAACTGTCGGGCGACCGACGGTTTAACTTTCCGCCCGACCTAAGACTGCTAATTAGACAGAAAAATGCAGCCAAACGCGCCTTCGACCGATACCGATCGGAATCGAACCGAACTGGCGACCATTTTCAATACCCTTCTCTCCAGTTGCTCCTTTCCGGACGACTGGAAGCAAGCCACGGTTATCGGCATTCGCAAGCCGAATAAACCAGCTAATCAGCCCTCTAGCTATCGTCCCATCAGCCTCCTCAGTTGCCTGGGGAAGCTCTACGAGCGGCTCTTGTTAAACAGGCTCTTAACGGTTAACAGAGCACGTATTTTCCAACGGCCTTCTGCCGACGGAACAATTCGGCTTTCGAGCTAGACACTCATGTCCCGACCAGTTATACCGCCTAACGGAGCACATCCTAAAAGGCCTAAACCACCCCAAACACATCAGCACAGGGGCTCTCTTCTTCGATGTCGCAAAAGCATTCGACGAAGTCTGGCACAACGGCTTGCTTTACAAGCTGTACACACTCAAAGTGCCAGATAGGCTCGTACACACCATCCGGGCCTTTTTGTTGAATCGCTCTTTTCGATATCGAGTCGAGGGCACCCTCTCCACAAGCCGCCGCCTCACGGCCGGCGTACCACAAGGCTCCTGCCTCTCACCTTTGCTCTTTACGCTCTACACGAGCGATATACCCAAAGACCCCCACGTCAATCTGGCGCTTTTCACGGATGACACCGCGCTCTTTTATTCCGACCGCAACCTTAGAATACTAACCATTCGACTCCAAAGCGCCGCCGACCGCCTCGGCGATTGGTTCCGCAAATGGAGAAAAGAAATAAATCCCGAAAAGAGTGTGGCGATTCACTTCACACGAAGTACCTACCCGTCACATCTTTATAATGGCCCTCGCCAATGCAGAAAGTTGGGGCAAATATCCCTTTATGGCCAACCGCTCCCCTGGGAGAAAAAGGTCAAATACTTAGGAGTCACTTTCGACTCGCGTATGTCATTTACTACGCACATTAATAACGTTCGTAATAGAGCCGCGTTCGTCTCCGGCCGGCTACACAATTTAACTAATGCTAAAAGTAAAATGCCCTTAAGGCACAAATTATTATTATATAAGACCTGCGTACGACCTATTATGTCCTACGCATGTATGATCTTCGCCCACACGCATCCTACTCGCTTGTACAAGTTGCAAATAGTACAAAATAAGTTTATCCGCCGCGCAACCGGTGCGCAGTGGTATCAGCGCAACGTCGATCTGCACAGCGATTGCAGACTCCCGACGATTCGCGCACATTTTAAAGATTTGACAAAACGGTTCTTCGATAGAGTCCAGCATCATCCCAACCCTCTGGTGGTAAGCGCAGCAAACTACCAACCGGACACTAACGCGAACGTAAACAAGCGTCGCCCGCGAAACGTCCTCATCGACCCGGTCGACGAAGAGGACTTAGATACGATGGACCCACCGCCGGGGGTCCCGCCGGATAACACTCCACCCACAGTTAGTGTAACAACAATCACACCAGTTCGCCCTCGCCTCCGAGCACGGCGAGACCCACACAACGCGTACACAAGGTACACCCGCGTTCCGGGGCGGTTTTCACCGCTCCCAGCCACCGATTAGCTAAATGCACAGTCGACGGCCGTCGGGGTCTCGGTCCGAACCGCGACCTCGACGGCCCTTAGATGACACACCATAATTAAACGCACGCATGAGCACATGCGCGACCCTACCCATAGCGGAGGGTCCAAACCCGTGGGTTCTGGCTAGCCCACCGGTTCTGCGTCCGATGAAGCTTTAATAGTCTCGGGACTGAAAGCAAAAACATCAGTTAATACAAGATACAAGATTACAGAAATTTTATGTTATAAACTATGTCATGATTCTTATATGCATATTTAGTGAGCACAATTTGTCACTAAATTATATATATACATATACATATATATATATATATATATATATATATATATATATATATATACAGCGTGTCGTTACCATCGCGACAATAAATGAACACACGACTAACGCTACTTGCCAATAATCATAAAAAAATATTAACGTTAAACAAAATCCATAATTAAAAAGAAATATTTTTCAAACAAACTAATTAAGTAAAAAAGAAACAAAATTTGTAACATCCTATACAACTCGCGTCACAGCGTCGTATTACAAGCCTCTCCTTCTAACAGTATGTTTTGTCTCTTTTAAATTCATTCAACCCATTCATATGCTTTGTGACCTTTACAAATGAACTTTACGTTACGCTTTTATAGGTAAGGGTGTTCTAAAATTCTTTGTTTTGGAAAATTTAATAACTCTGTAAATATTGATGTTTAAAGAATTAAAATGTTTGATACAACTTTAAAAGTTATCCCCTATATGCGTGTTCATTTATTGTCGCGATGGTAACGACACGCTGTATATATATATAGCACAACAATGTCACATGTATAATGTATGATCTTCAAAATGTAATAGTTCTGGTTTCGTAAGTTTGTTTTCATTTGATATGGCATCACGTCACAGTTCGATGTTATCCCACAGTAGGGGTAGTATTTATAAATAAAAACAAAGTCTGAAAAGCTCATATACAATATTTTATTGTAACCATCACACATTTAAAAATTAAAAGTTTTATAAAAAAATATAATATGTTATAAATCTGCAGCGTTGACCACAATCAAAACGTATGATTTATGCAACATTAGCGCTCTAAATCCAGTTTAGAGGAACACGTTTCTGGTTTAGTTTATCGTAAACCCTTAAACAGATCTACATCTAAAGGGACAGCCGTGACGTCACCTACCACTGCTATCGCCATATCTGCTTCTGCCAAATCAAGGATCACATTAAGGCATATGGTAATATAAAAGGGAAATGAATAAACAATGGCCAATCGTCATACAAAGCAAACTTACTCTTTCCAACGATCTCATTGGCCGTAGCCAATATGTCGTCTGTGGCAATGGAGTCTACCATCGCAAAGGACTCCTGAGGGCCGTCCATCTGAACGTTGTTCGCCATTTGTAACGCCAGGCCTTCGGCGACTTGGACGCAGTCTTCTTCGTGTACAGCGAGACCGAATTCTGAATTGCAAAAAATAAAAATATGAACGTAACCGCTCATATAATTTTGTATATATTTGGCGAAAAAAAAAAATTATTATGAGACATTTCTAAAAACTTCAACTCACCGTCTCAAGTTTGGAAAGAAATTAAAAACATCCGGTTTCGCTCTAAGCTAAAGAGGAAACCGAATATCAGATAAAGAATCGGAACGTTTTTGACAGATCGTTTATCATTCATTCGTTAGGTGGCGCTATAGTTGATTATGACCGATTAGAAAAGAGTATTTATTAATAACATTTAATATACTTATATTTATTGTGATCAAATAAACGAGGTGGTCACTTACTTAGTCGTTTCTTGCCGATCTCAATGTCTTCGGCGCTTAATTTATCGAGGTTGGACAGGAAATGTATTATAGCTCGCGTAGCCTTCTCGGCTGTACAAGCTTGCGTTCTCGCCAGTATTCCTAAAAACCAATATTCTACATATGTACGATATGTTGTATTACAATCAAATGTCTATTGTAATTAACCGTACACTGTGTAACTGAATGAGATTATAAAACAAGTAGCGGGCCTCGGCTTCGCACTGGTGTAATATATTCTACATTCTATCTAGTAAAAAAAAACCACATCATCCGTTTTAAACATCTAAGCATCTATAGGGACAGGCAGACAGCGGTACGTTTTTTATACTACGTAGTGATTATGCACTAACATAGTGACAGCTAATAGAATAACTTAATATATCATGCCGAAAAATAAACAATTAAAAGAGCTTTCTATTTATATACATATTAATCAAAGACTTTTCTGAAAATAAGTATAAAACAATAAAAAATAAAAAACCTATTTGACAACTATACAACTATAAATCTCAATTCACTCCGATACACATTCTTATTTCTATATTTGAGATAAATCAGTACCACACAATTGGTCATTAAAAAAGCCTACATTCTTTTGCTGTATATTGCATAATATTCGTTCCCTTTTGAGTTCAGTCGTTTTCCAAAGAGTTTCTTCCAAAGACAAAGAGACAAAGAAGTAAGCGTCTAATAGAAAGTGCTAACGCTTCCCACGGGAATAGATTTACTTTTATATCTAATGGGAAGTAAATATGAAGCCCTTAGTATTTTGTGTTAAACGACGTCTGAGTAGTCCGGAGTTATATTTAATTTTAATTAGTTGAGTACTCAAAGGGTAAAACGGGACCCTATTATTAAAACTTCGCTCTCTGTCTGTCTGTCCGTCTGTCACCAGAGTATATCTCATGAACCTTAATGGTTAGACAGTTGAAATTACCGTTATAGCGGCAAATATAAAAATATATAAGTGGGGCTCCCATACAACAGATATAATTTTTTTGCCGTTTTTAAAGATAGTTGTACGGAACCCTTCGTGCGCGAGTTGGCCCGTTTTTTATACTTTTGCTCTTTGGTTAACTCCTGCCATCTGATTTTCACCAACGTAATAGAATGCCATTAGGCATTAAGTCCGCCCATTGTAGCCCTTAGCTTAAAGTTTATTGTATTGTATTTGTTTTGGAAGGGGTCGGCTAGTAATTCCCAACGACTACTGCGAACTAGAAAGATCTATTGTAGTCTTCCCTTCGAAAACATTGCCTGTATTTTAAGGACGTTTTACATACATAAATTTCACGTGGACAAGAACACAGCTCCGAAACAATTATCTGTACGTCACTCAGATAGTTGTCTCGTGTGGGAATCGAACCCACAATGCCCGGCGCCGATGCCTATATCATGACAACTGCGCCATGGAATCATCATAGCGGTGTAGCAATAAAGTTTAAATAAGTTAATAAAAGTATAATTTTTATTTATATCACAAAGAGTACAGTAAATATAAAGAGCCGTATAGTGTGAATTAATTTCTAAAATACTTAAGGGTAATTAAATCAGTTTAATTTTCAAATAAAAATAGTAATTTAGTGTTTTTTGTTACAGTTACTAACTATTGCTGTTGTTATTGTTTATTATTACTTTTTTATGTTGCTTAGGCTGTAATTGTTTGTTTTTTTTTGAATTCCTGTTCATTTATGGTTTTCCTATTAGAGGAAACTTAACTGGTATTTGTACAAGCTTTTCTTAATAACTATAAGTGCGGTGTATACTGTATGTTTCCCAAATAAATAAATAAAAAACTCATCCTCCGGGTGCTCGCTTTTAATTTACTTCAGCAACCTGAGTTCGATCCTCGGTGTCGGCACCAAAAAAACAAAAACATTTGAAAGATTATATGTGAAGTCCGCCAAACCGCAGTAAGTCGCGTGGTGAACTATGCCCGGACTGTAATATATTCCGTACAGATGAGGCCTTTGCCCAGCAGCGGGACACGTATAGGCTGTAACTTAACTTAACTTAATATATAGCCGTGAAGAGGCAACACTGAGCGCAGCACGCACCAAAGACGCCCGTCTCCGCGTAGGAGAGGTTGAACGCCCTCAGCTCCGTCTGCGGGTCCTCGGTGAGGAAGGCCAGCGGGCTGTGCCGGATGCAGTCGAGCGGGTGCTGGCCCGCCTGCGCGCACCCCACCCCACACGCCGCCGCCACCGCCGAGTGCTTCAGCAGCCGGCTGCCGATCGCCGGTTTCATCACTCCGCGGCGCAGTCGCCAAGGTTGGGATGCCGAAAGTAGAAAAATATATCGATATTTAAAAAATATCGATATATCGAAGAGAATATCGATATTTTCGTTATAGGCTCTGTTGTTATTAAATATTTGAACGCACGCCCTCTGTCTCGGATTCAAATTTGAATAAAATATCGTTTTTGATACGATTACGATATTGAATATATCGATATATCGGATCAAAATGTATCGGCTAGATATATTTTATAAAATAAATCGATATATCGATATTTTTGGCATCCCTATGCCAAGGTACTGGCTTCGGCGTCGGACGTCGTGGGTTCAATGCCTAAACGGGACAACTATTTGTGTGACCCACGGATAGTTGTTGCGTCTGGGTGTGTGTCCACGTGACATTAATGCTTGTAACAACACAGAATAACGTAAAAACTATCCTAACCCAAACACTACCTGGGACCGCTTTCTCAAATGTTGTCAACGCATCCCCAATCCATGGGGTGTTGAAGATGCCAAAGAGCGGAGGTAATCATTTAACATCAGGGAACCTGCTAACTTGTGAACTTTTCACATAAAGAACATTTGAGAGTTTTATACGTTAGTTTAACATGAATTTTATAAGTTAATAACATCTTTCTACTTTTATTGGTTCGTACAAACGTTTGACGTATAGGTACTCTTACTTAGTTATATTTATCATAACATAACATTGCCATCCAATGGATGAAGAGTAGGCAGCGATGAAGTATTTTGTAATATTAGGTGAAACTTCTGGAAACGTGTTATTTTTGCTTTAGACTTACAATAAACATATTAAAAACACGATGATGATACATTTTAGCAAGTTTATAATATAATTGATTTATTTTTGTTAAATTACGAAAAATATATTGTATAAACTTTATTATTATGTTTAATATCATAACTATTTGTAATGTCATCGTTATTTCAACGAAATATTATTTAATTGTTGCAACCTGTGATTTTTAAAGCAGCAAAAGCACCATCGTCGTTTCTTGCTATTATAAAATTTAAGGCGCCCCGTTTTTCCATAGAAAAGGAATGGAAGGAGCGTTTGAAAATTTACATTACCTGAAGTCACAAGTCCCACAGCCTTGCACGGCTGCAGCAACCCATGTAATACTGTCGCGCCCAAGGTCGTAGTATTCGAAGCCGCGTTTTGGATAAGACACAGCCTCCTGAGCAGACGGCTTTTCCTACAAATAGAACTTTAAATGGATATCTACTTATGCTTTCTCATCAAATGTCGATATTCAGCTTTAGGAAAGTTCTTATTTTCAATCCCCAACTTGATTATCACATTAGTCCCTTCAAATTAAAAAAAAATATAATAAGGTGTCTTGTTAAATTTAATTAATTTTTACTTTAACATATTAGTATATATCAGCAGCATTGCCTTATTAGTTTCTGCATATCTATCCGAACAGAATAACTACCACCACAGATTAAAAACAACAATTAGCCGCCACTGACCCAGTGCATCACGGATCAAACCCAAACCATACCAATGACAACAAACCCTTTAAAAAAAATCTGTTTTTGTCACATATTTGTTGGTCAGTGAAAATCCTTGTCTTGAGCAGAATTCAAACCCAAAGCCTCTTTCATTTGACACCTCTTGAATAATGTAGACAATTTGTAATAAATTAAACTGTGGTAGGCCCACGCAACTGTTGCACGAATGGTCAGGTCCGTCCGGGTAAGTACCACGACCTCGCTTGAATTTGAGGAAGTGTTATACTTCTGCGTTTCGACCGGTGAACCGGGGCCCACTTTAGTAAAAGGCGGCAACGCACCTGCAACGCCACGGGTGTTTCAAATTTCCATGGGCGGCGATTATCACTTAACATCGGGTGAACCGCTAGCTCGCTTGCAACCTTCTTATATTTAAAAAAGACAATTCCTCTCACGTGTATCAACTCAATCATCTCGGCCAACTTAAGAGTCTCGTCGTACGCGAAGCCTACACTCGCTACCGTGCAATGTTCGCGGCCAAAGTTCCCCACGAAGCCCTTCAAGTGGTCGACCGATATCCCGTCGACCCTCGCCTCCTCGCAGTACACCGAGTTACTCAAAGGTCCAAACCAAAACGCGCTCTGCACCAAATCGATGACGCGCTCCTCCGGACTTAGTCTGAGGAGGTTGTCTTTAATGAACGGCTTCATGTCAGCCAGTTCCCACTCGTGGTAGCAGCATCTGCAAGAGTATTATAGTCAGCAGGTATTATTTATACGGAACATAACCCTAATAAAACAATTAACAATATAAGGTACAGAATAACTTCAAATTAATGCTAAACATTTTAAACTGTGATCATAAAAAACATTTACGAAAAACACAACAGATCTAATAAAAAAAACCCTTTATAATAGAATCTTTGCTTTTGAAAACCTATTAAAATATAATCGCGAAAAGAGTATATTAATATTATTAATTATAATATTATATGTAATTTATCGTTTGTTTGTCGCATAACATTGTTTTCGCGTATAGATGGTAAAGTAACAGTTCCATCTGTTAAGCAAATTGGCTCGCTATATATGAGTATTATGGCCTTATAGAAAACCGGTGCAAACACGAAACGTCCATACTTTTTTTCCTAAAGGTTGGCAACGGAATATCAATCTTAAAAATGGAAACGAAAATTTCTCTTGAACTTATATGAATAAACAAAAATAATAAAAAATACACGAAACAATTTTTACTGAAAATTCGGAACATAAAAAAGATTGATACCACTTAGGCCCCGGCGAGATTCGAACTCGCGATCTCCTGTTTACTAGACAGGCGCTTTAACCAACTAAGCCACGGCGCCTTGTTCAACGGTAGCGAAAATGTTGTATACATTCATAAAGCTAAATATCGTATACAATCAATCTGATTGAATAATTATTATGACTATTAACATAAACCCAATAACAAGATTAAACATATAGATATATATTCAATCATAATTAAATGTGTTATTATTTTTGTAAGCATATTTTATATTTTACTATTTTTTTACATTTATAAAATAATGAATTCTATTGAATGAATATGTCTTCTGAACGACTTGATTGTGGCTATGTTCTAGAAATAATTTTCTGTTTCTCTATTTATATATGAGGTAGGGTTACCAACGTTTGTTTGGATGATTATAGTACTTTTCAAAACATGCCAAATTTTGCGTATGTACTATGTTTTGTTTGAACAGCAGAGACTATCTATCTAATAAATTGATAGGGGTCTACCGTTGTACGCGTATCACGGATAATCTTATTATTTATAGATTTAAATAAATTTTTCTAAAATTTATTTCATAAACACTCGGACCATAATAATTATCTATAAAACAAATTATTGTGATATCTTCATTCAACGTAAATTTAATCAAGTTTTCAGAGATATCGATTTTTATAATTACTGCTTGTTTAGTGATTTGTTATCTTGCCGTGAAGAAGTGGGATAAGCGATAGTTGTTTACATAACAATATGATCAAGATGAAATCTTTCTTTTATGTGACAACCGTCGCCCATTGAAATTTGCATCACCCGTAGGGTTGCGGATGCGTCACCACCTTCCAACAAACTGGGCCCCGGTTACCTCACCGACCGGAGGAAACGCGGAAGTGCAACACTTCTACTTCACGCCGGTCTTCTGAGTGATTCCGCACTCACACGGACGGACCGGCCCATTCTTGCGACGGTGAATACTGTTGCGTAGGTACCTGCCGGCTGCCACGCATAAAAATCGCGATAACGTTGACTGCGCGAAATTCCCGCAGGCTTTAGCTGCTAGCTGCACGACTGACCTTAACGCCGCGTCCAGCAGGTAGTTCTTCAGCTCCGGGAAGTCGACCGGGGTGCAGCGCAGCGTGAAGGCGAGGGTCTGGCGGTCGCCGGTGGTGGCGATGGTGGCGCCCCGCCGCTGCAGCTGCCGCATCTTGGCGAAGGCGGAGTGGGCGCGGCCCGTGGCGGAGGTCATCGCCCGCACGAAGTGGGAGACGCCCCGCTGCTCGTGGCTCTCGTGGCGGGAGCCCGTCTGTGGCACAACGGTGGCAGAGCTTTCGCTAGATGCAGTGGTGGCAGAGCGGTCCAGGAAAAGAACGCTTCTCGCAGTTTCTTCGCTTCGATTCGAGAGCATGTAGGTAAGGACAAAGACGTTTATACTTTCACCTTCTTTTAGACACTTGGAAGATATGTCCATAATAATACAAAGATTACAACGGGAGACTGTTCTAGTTATAGGGGACATTAAGTTATTAGACACTTATAAGATACGTCCATAATATATTATAATTATTCCATTATATATTAAATATGTATTAATGTAATTAATAAATTATCAATCATTTATTAGTAACGTTTGTTGTGATTTATTTAAAAGTTGTTGGTTTGACACCTATTGCATCTGTGATAGTTCTTGCTCCCTAAAGTGGGGGTGGGTGGTTGGTATTGGTTTTTGATTCAAATGTTACAACGTACGCGAGTTAGTTCTTTGGTTATTGGAAGGGCTGTTGCTATTGCAGGCTGTTGCTCTGCTGGAAAAGTAATAAAGTATTATTGTTATGCAATTATTGAGTTACATTTCTATAAATTGGTAAAAGCTATTCTTATCCTTTAAACGAGCAGTTCTTGTATATATATGTATATATATATATATATATATATATATATATATATATACGACGAAACGGAAACGGCTCCAGCGATTTTCATGAAATTTAGTATGTGCGTAGATTCGGGGGCGAATCTAGCTGGGTTTCATTTATAGAAAATCTCCTTTTATCCCTGTTTTCAGGGAATGAAAAATGTCATTCGAATATGACGGTAAATTTCGCCGCAAAAAATATGATATAATAGCACGGTCGGTAATAGGGTGGCCCCAGAACAGACGGCCGCGATTCGTATCACGATCATTTACACATTTATTTTTTACTTTTTTTCGATTCCAGATCATTACTTTCTTTATTTTTTATTTTTTGTTGATCCAGATGCTTTTGCTATTTTTTCCCTTTTTTTAACAGTTGTTTCTTTTGTGAAAACACCACTTTATATTTTCTTATTATTAGGTCGGTAAGATCGAAAAATATTATGTATATTTCATTACTCAGTAATTTGTATCTAAATGTAATTTCCAAAATACATGATTTACCAAAAAAAAACCCGAGCAAAGCTCGGTCCTCCAGGTACTGTTTTATAACTTATCTATCTATCAAGTAATACAAAGGTTATGACAGGAGACTGTTCTCGATGGTGTTTCGAGTGCATTCGTTATAGAACATAAATACGTTTGTTACCTTCATTTAGACACATGGAAGATATGCCCATAATAACACAAAGCTTTATAACTGGAGACTGTTTTAAATCGAATCTCGCATACATACATCAAAGTGTAGAGCGACCCCCCACTAGATGGAGTTACCTGTGCCAATATGCGGGAAGTCGATGGACGCCGGTAGCTCAGGACCGTCCTTACATAACCATGTTCAGAAATGGACTCAAACAGGCTGTAATGATGAAGATGACGATGATAGATACAACACCAAATATTTACATTTAGACGTAATTTTTTCTACCATACAACGCATTTAAAAAGTATATAAAGAAAGATCTGAGCATAATATACACAGCAACATACACGCGCGCATCTGAATTCTACAATCTACACGTTCTTTTTATCTTTTATTTTAGCAAATAATGTATTTGATTATTAAAAAAGAATAGATTTTAATTAAGCTTCTTAAGCTTTTTAATTAACTTTTGTCAAATTTTTCTATTTGTCCTTTTTAACCTTGTCCTTTTTAGAATATGTATTGCTTCCATAATTTCATGTTAACAAATGGTTTTAAGAAGTGAACATATGGAAAGCCTATTAGTAAATACGTACGCTGTTGTTTTCTTGAATAAGTATAATATATGAAAATATCAAACGAATACAGAGAAAATATTGAAAAAATTGTGTTAAAAACAGTAATAATATTGACCACGTGCACTGAACGGAAAAGTGTAAACAGTGGTGAAATTATTGTTCTTTTCAGCGTCATACGATTAGGTAAAGTGAAAAAATTAAAAAAAAATATATTACTCCCACAAAAAGTACACCCATTCAAAGGCCCCGGCGAGATTCGAACTCGCGATCTCCTGTTTACTAGACAGGCGCTTTAACCAACTAAGCCACGGCGCCGTGCTGGCATACGGTGAAAATGAGGTAGACATCACAGCATTACGTATAGGACGGTATCGATATACTTATGGTTTTTGCTCAAGAGCAATCATGTATCTTTGAAATAGTCAACGTTGATGTACTATATCAAAAGAATAAAGTTATCGATGTGGGCCTGATGGAAATCAAGTTTTAATCGCTATTATAGTTTTTGCGTCAGATTTGTACCGATCGTCGAAATATACCTCGAGTAGCAGAATTTCACGTAGTTTAGTTTATTAAATTATTAAGTATGCTTTTAAGTTTTTATTTTAACAATATTATTAACTTTACTCTGTGAAGTAACTTTACTCTGTAGGCAAGGCTGTTCTTGATTATTATCTAGTTGTTCAGATTTTCCGCTATGTACAGTACGCATTGCGTGATGCAAATCACCAAGGGATGTTGGGGAGAACCTTCCGTAGAACCGCATCAACAAGTGATCGTATATAGTTACTTAAAAAGCACAATTCGGCTCCAAAAGAGATAACAGTCTATAAAATCGCACCAATTGCCGTGATTTGAGTGCAACACGGTGAGCGTGTGTCATATCTAGTTCGAATTTGTATATAATATCATTGGAGTTGACTGCGTTTGGTGCCGCGAGGTGGACCATGCCCTGGTACCCTCTGTGGAAAGGAGGCCTTTGCCCAGCAGTGGGAAAATAGGCTGTTAATTTTAACTTGACATTAGCGAGAGACTGAAACGAGCCTAATCTGTACGGCATGTACCGAGGTTGGCGCTGACCTGGAACATGATAGTGCAAGCGCCGATTGGGGCGCCCAGGTGCCTCGCCGCCGCCACCTTGTTCCCGTTCAGCATCACCGTCCGCTGCACCGGCGGGGGCCCGTAGCCCGGCTTCTCGGCGCATTTCGAATAGCTACAATTGCTTAGCCGCTTGGACAGCGAATTTACCGGAAGCAACCTATTCATCCTGTTAATCTTCTTCTTTTATTTTTTAATAAGCCAATGAACATTTAAAGATCCTGTTAATCGATCTGGTACTTCTCCGGCTGTCACTGATTGTCAGTTCCTGACGTTGACGTCGAGTGATTTTTTTATTTATTACAAACTTTTTGGTGTACAGTCAAGTATTAGGTTTGTAAGGCTAACGTTGATAAAGGTTTTTGCTAAAGCGAAAGGTTGTGCAATTATGTAGTAATTACTATTTCGAATTGGTTCGTACGAAATTAAAGAAGTTTTATTAGAATAATTTTGTTGAGAATCTGCACCGTTGTAGTAGATTTAATTGTTTAATTGTGTTGTATTTAATTTTGAGTTTAAACTACCGCTTTCGTACACTCCACGGCATCTTTGTTTGCGACATGCAGTCTTCACAAAACAGTTAACAGTTTGAACATTTAAGAATGAGCAAACGTTTTAAAATTCGGTTTCATTAATCGAATATTAACCGTAGATTTCTAAACTATCCTACAAGTGGCGTTATTACTAAACATTCGTAAAAAATACGACAGGAAAATAAAACAGAATAAATTAACGAATAATAAATTTTAATAATTTTAGAAATTACAATTACTTATTCTTTGGGTTTAAGAGATCACATAATGATGAAAATAGTATAAATTTTTTTTTACTCTACACAGTTTGAACACTTATTCATGCTGTGCGCTCTACATATATGGCTCTTTTAAATTTCACGCAAAAGTTAGTTAATTAAAATTTGTAGAAAAAGTACGACGTGGGTTCGATTCCCACAGCGGCGATAATCTTTTTGTATTATGTTGTCAATTTCCAAAAAGGTTGTCAACGCATCTGTAACCCTCGGGTGTAGCAGACGTCTGCTGAACATGGACCTCCCTATCTATATACACCTTGTCGTTACAACCGCGACAATAAATGAACACATGTCTAACGCTACTTGCCAATAATCATAAAGAAAATATAAAACGTTAAAAAAACATATTTAAAAAAATATATTTTTCAAACAAATTAATTAAATAAAACAGAAAGAAAATTTGTAACAACTACAACCGACTGATTTATACATTTAGATACTTTTTCATTCGTTGCCACAACGTCTTTGTAATGCACAAATCTCTCCTTCTAACAGTATGTTTTGTCTCTTTCAAATTCATTCAACCCATTCGTATGCTTTGTAACATATACAAATGAACTTTACGTTACAGTTTTATACGTAAGGCTGTTCTAAAAATGGTTGTTTTGTAAAATTTAATAACTCGGTGAATATTGATGTTTAAAGAATGTAAATGCTTAATACAATTTCATTTATTGTCGCGGTTGTAACGACACGCTGTATCGTGGCTCCATCTAGTGGGGGGCCGAGGCTGCCACTCGAGAACATTTCCCCAGCGGTTATCGGTTCTACGAGCTATATGGTCGGCACATCGCCACTTCAGCTTGCTAACCTTCCGAGCTATTACATACCATAGGTTTAGGAAAAGAAAGCAAATAAAACAAACGACGGCCAGTTTAATTCTCCTTTTATTATATTTTTTTTCCGTTCTCAATTCAAAAATAAACTTATACTATGCATTTACGTTGATCGTCGCTCACCCGAATTTAGAACTCGCCGGCGGAACAACCGCTTGTTAGATAATCTATAATTTTTATTCTCTATGACCTAAAAGTAAACCGTACGATCACAATGTCCGCGTCTCCGGGTCACTTAGTTAAAATTAAAAAGAAAAAGACTTGTCTATGGTGCTACAGAGGGGGAGGGGCTTTTTTAAATTAAGAAAACTTGTCTATGGTGCGAGTGGGGGGACAGGGGGGTCAATAACCCGAGGTTCGTGGAAGGATAACTTATCTCGTACAAAAAAACCTTATATATATTAAACGTGTCTATTTATTTACAGTAATTTACATCACAAGCCCAATAACGTATGGTGGTGTCAGATACGATTGTTTTGAAACTATCAGTACACGTATAAATGTGCACATTGTATATATGTATATAATATATGTAAAAAGGGACGATAAAAGGTAAGTAGAAATCAATAAAGCGAGGAACTGCGACCAAGGCTTTTGGCATATGAGCCTGGAAACTTCCAAAGATGTGGTCTTAGAGCATCCCACTGCTGGGCAAACAACTGGTCAGAGGGCAAGGTTGATAACACTCTCGACCTATCATAATAAATCACCGTTACTTAACAAATTAGAAGTCAAAGTGACACTATAACTTTTCAGTTACACAATTTGTTTATAGATTAGTCTAAACGACGTTTTGATACGTAAATGTAAATTCGAACATCGCAAAGAAATGCAATCCTGTTTATCTGGCCATTTATGTGCAATACGATTTTAAAGTAAAGGTAAACGTTTGAGGTTTTGTGATTTTGACTATTCGGAATTTCCTCAACTGCGTCTGTGTATTCGTTCCTATGATAGAAATTTGTCGTCGCTTTGAAACATCAAAAGTTTGTTTATTTCAAGGGTGAGATTTAAACCGACGTAGATATGCGAGGGGTAGGAGTACATAAAGGGATCATTGTGTATAAATCGAGCGGCGCTCGCGTTCCTGGTTTCGTTCGTCTGCTCGTCTGCTTGTTTGTTTGTTTGTCTGCGTGTCTGCATATCTGCATGTCTGCATCACCACCATACTTGTGTCCGCTAACAGCGCGCACGACTGAGTGACAGATGGTTGGCGCTCAGCGATGAGCTCCTGCAAACAAAAAGTAAATTATAATAAACATTAAATAATAAAACAAAGTCAATACGATCATATTAATCAATTCTCCCGTTTAGGTTTTTCAACAAGAGAAGGAAAGAATGAGGTTTATTTATTTCTGGGCATAATAAAATAAAAGAAATCATAGAAAATATCAGAACCTGTCACAATCACGCACGAAATTATTAGGCAATTCTACATGTACAATCGCGTCCTACTAAATATTACTAATGCGTACGGTCGCGTCGTTTATGCAAAATTATTTTGCCGCAGGTATCGTTACATATGTACAGTCGTGGAGTTCAGTCGACTGGAATAATAGCGCGGTTCGTACAGTTGTATAGAAACTAGCTGACCCGGCAAACGTTGTTTTGCCATATAAGTTATTTGTAGGGTAGGAAAAAATGCTTAGGGTGGACTACCCTTAACATTTAGGGGGATGAAAGATGTTGTCCGATTCTGCACCCTGGCCGATTTCCATACACAAAATTTCACGAAAATCGGTCGAGTCATTTCGGAGGAGTTCAATTACAAACACCGTCGAGAATTTCACCGTCACCACGAGAATTTTATATATTAGATGTGTTGGCGCTGGCAACACTGTATACCGCATATGACGTTATCTACTCGAGGCAAGGGACACATGGTCGCATGGAGCGGCGGTCACTTGGATTTCGCTTGCGTTCCCGGACGGTGGTATAACCTCTAGTGCTGCTTGTCGTTATAATAGTTGTTAATATTCAAGTTCAGTAATAGTTAAAATATTAGGATCAAGGTAAAACCGTTAGAACTCTTACAGATGTTATCTAGGAGTAAAAGTTAAGAGCACTAAGGTCAAGTCCCCGGTGCCAGCACCAATGAACTTGCCGACTTATCACGTGCTCGTATTCTTCAAGATAATAGTGATACAAAAGACCTCTAAGTAAATAAATTTAACGCTGAGGCGGTGCATATAGTTATGAAAGCCATGCTTAAGAGCAGTACAGACGCGCGCTACGTGCATTTGATCCTGGATAGCGGTACTGTCGCGCGCTACCTACAGTTATGCTATCAATTTAAGACTGGTACAGTCGCGCCCTACGTTCATTTCTGCGCTCGATCATAGAGGTACCGTCAGGAACTACCTACAGTTGTTTGGTTGATCACCGAAAGCGGTATAGTCGCGTGCTACGTACATTTGTGCGGGCGATTATAAAGATTGAGACAGTCGCGCGTTACGAGTACTTGTATAGTCGATCCTAGAAAATCGCGCGCTACGTACAGATGTCCGGTCGGTTACGAAGAGCGGTACAGTTGCGCACTACGTACAGTCATCCGGACAGCGGTATAGTCGCGCGCTACGTGCATTTGTTTGAGCGATGACAGTAAGAGATACAGTCGCGCGCTACGTGCAGTTGTCCAGTCGATCACAAAAAGAATGGTAGAGTCACGCGCTACGTGCAGTCGTGCGTTCGATCACCGGGAGCGGTACAGTCGCGCGGTCGAGGACAGATAGCGGTACAGTCACGCGGTCGATCAAAGAGCGCGGTACAGTCGCTTCGCACGTACAGTCGTGCGTTCGATCACCGGGAGCGGTACAGTCGCGCGGTCGAGGACAGATAGCGGTACAGTCGCGCGGTCGATCAAAGAGCGCGGTACAGCCGCTTCGCACGTACAGTTGTGCAGGCGCACGGAGGGCCTGTCGTGCGTTCGATCACCGGGAGCGGTACAGTCGCGCGGTCGAGGCCAGATAGCGGTACAGTCGCGCGGTCGATCAAAGAGCGCGGTACAGCCGCTTCGCACGTACAGTTGTGCAGGCGCACGGAGGGCCTGTCGTGCGTTCGATCACCGGGAGCGGTCCAGTCGCGCGGTCGAGGCCAGATAGCGGTACAGTCGCGCGGTCGATCAAAGAGCGCGGTACAGCCGCTTCGCACGTACAGTTGTGCAGGCGCACGGAGGGCCGTGTTCGATCACCGGCGTTCGATCACCGGGAGCGGTACAGTCGCGCGGTCGATCAAAGAGCGCGGTACAGTCGCGCGGCACGTACAGTTGTGCAGGCGCACGGAGGGCCTGTCGTGCGTTCGATCACCGGGAGCGGTACAGTCGCGCGGTCGATCAAAGAGCGCGGTACAGCCGCTTCGCACGTACAGTTACAGTTGTCGCAGGTCGAGGCCAGATAGCGGTACAGTCGCGCGGTCGATCAAAGAGTCGCGCGGCACGTACAGTAGTGCAGGCGCACGGAGGGCCTGTCGTGCGTTCGATCACGGGAGCGGTACAGTCGCGCGGTCGAGGCCAGATAGCGGTACAGTCGCGCGGTCGATCAAAGAGCGCGGTACAGTCGCGCGGCACGTACAGTTGTGCAGGCGCACGGAGGGCCTGTCGTGCGTTCGATCACCGGGAGCGGTACAGTCGCGCGGTCGAGGCCAGATAGCGGTACAGTCGCGCGGTCGATCAAAGAGCGCGGTACAGTCGCGCGGCACGTACAGTTGTGCAGGCGCACGGAGGGCCTGTCGTGCGTTCGATCACCGGGAGCGGTACAGTCGCGCGGTCGAGGCCAGATAGCGGTACAGTCGCGCGGTCGATCAAAGAGCGCGGTACAGTCGCGCGGCACGTACAGTTGTGCAGGCGCACGGAGGGCCTGTCGTGCGTTCGATCACCGGGAGCGGTACAGTCGCGCGGTCGAGGCCAGATAGCGGTACAGTCGCGCGGTCGATCAAAGAGCGCGGTACAGTCGCGCGGCACGTACAGTTGTGCAGGCGCACGGAGGGCCTGTCGTGCGTTCGATCACCGGGAGCGGTACAGTCGCGCGGTCGAGGCCAGATAGCGGTACAGTCGCGCGGTCGATCAAAGAGCGCGGTACAGTCGCGCGGCACGTACAGTTGTGCAGGCGCACGGAGGGCCTGTCGTGCGTTCGATCACCGGGAGCGGTACAGTCGCGCGGTCGAGGCCAGATAGCGGTACAGTCGCGCGGTCGATCAAAGAGCGCGGTACAGTCGCGCGGCACGTACAGTTGTGCAGGCGCACGGAGGGCCTGTCGTGCGTTCGATCACCGGGAGCGGTACAGTCGCGCGGTCGAGGCCAGATAGCGGTACAGTCGCGCGGTCGATCAAAGAGCGCGGTACAGTCGCGCGGCACGTACAGTTGTGCAGGCGCACGGAGGGCCTGTCGTGCGTTCGATCACCGGGAGCGGTACAGTCGCGCGGTCGAGGCCAGATAGCGGTACAGTCGCGCGGTCGATCAAAGAGCGCGGCGGTACAGTCGCGCGGCACGTACAGTTGTGCAGGCGCACGGAGGGCCTGTCGTGCGTTCGATCACCGGGAGCGGTACAGTCGCGCGGGTCAAGGCCAGATAGCGGTACAGTCGCGCGGTCGATCAAAGAGCGCGGTACAGTCGCGCGGCACGTACAGTTGTGCAGGCGCACGGAGGGCCTGTCGTGCGTTCGATCACCGGGAGCGGTACAGTCGCGCGGTCGAGGCCAGATAGCGGTACAGTCGCGCGGATCGATCAAAGAGCGCGCGTACAGAGCGCGGTACAGTCGCGCGGCACGTACAGTTGTGCAGGCGCACGGAGGGCCTGTCGTGCGTTCGATCACCGGGGAGCGGTACAGTCGCGCGGTCGAGGCCAGATAGCGGTACAGTCGCGCGGTCGAGGCCAGATAGCGGTACAGTCGCGCGGTCGAACGGAGAGCGCGGTACAGTCGCGCGGCACGTACAGTTGTGCAGGCGCACGGAGGGCCTGTCGTGCGTTCGATCACCGGGAGCGGTACAGTCGCGCGGTCGAGGCCAGATAGCGGTACAGTCGCGCGGTCGATCAAAGAGCGCGGTACAGTCGCGCGGCACGTACAGTTGTGCAGGCGCACGGAGGGCCAGTCGTGCAGGTCTTGCTCTCGCGGCGGCTGGCGGCGCGTGAGGCGCGGCGGCTCGCTGCGGCGCACGCAGCCCTCGTGGATGTGCACCGCCGCGATGTCCGAGCCGGGGATCTCGAACATCACCTCCAGCAGCAGGTTCTCCTGCCACATCAAGCCACACCGGTCAGCCTCAATGCTCCCAAGGTAGAAGGAAGGAGGCACACGGCAGTACCATGATGGCGCGCAGCCCCCTCGCGCCCGTCTTGCGCTCCATGGCGAGGGCGGCCACGGCGCCGAGCGCCTCCTCGCTGAACGACAGCTCGCACTTGTCCATCGCGAACAGCAGCTTGTACTGGGCGACCTGCGCAGAGTTACAGCGGCGTTCAAAAGTCAAACCAAATCATCCTTATTATCGTAAATAAAGTTATCCAATATAGATAAAAAGTGCAGACATATTTCGCTTCAATGACATGTAAATAATTTAAAAATAATATAATTAATACAATTATAATTACAAAGTCTATTAATAAATCAAAATTATATATTCATTGAAGTAAGAAAGGTACTTTTAATCTATCGCTAGCCTTTTTTTTTTTTTAAATCTACCACCGTTTGGTAATGAGGTTCCTTTAATGGAGAAGAAACAGGCGCAAGAAACTGCATAGGTATTCTCTTTTTCGTCAACTCCAACTCCGCGTTAAAGTTAAAGCGCGAGACGCCACGTGGAGAAAACTAGAGAGAAAAGAATTGGACAAATAAGGTGGTACCATCGCGTTCTTCGGCTCGGTGAGTATCCGCACGAGCAGGTCCTGGTTGAGGCTGTGGAACGGCACCAGCACGGGGAAGCGGCCGACGAACTCCTGCAACGCGAGGGCGGAGGTTATTAGCCATTATTTAGGGGTGTAGAGGCTTGGGGGCGGAGATGCCAAAGGCCCTGCGACCAGGACGCATTTAAACACAACGTTCTCTGGTCACATCATGAACAACTCTGTACTATTGGTACTAGATAACTGATAAACATGCTTAAACATACTTTTCTTTTGTTAATAAATACGTACTATACTTATATAACCAAACAGACACTGGATAACACTATGTATATCATGCAATATTTTTCCAGTAGTGTTCATTGCACTCACACCCTCTGACCAGAGGCATTTTCACTACCCGACCAATCGGATTGTCGCGTAGAAGTTTCGGGGTTAGATACTCGTTGGCGTAGCTACATACATGGCGTGGATACCATGGGGCGTAGAAGTATGTGGGTGTAGATGCATGAAAGTATAGATGAATGGGGGCGTAGAGGTTTGCGGGTGTGGATAGCAGGGGGCGTAGAGGCTAGAGGGCGCAGATGTCGGGGGGCGTAGAGAGCAGGGGGCGTGGAGAGCAGGGGGCGTAGAGAGCAGGGGGCGTACCGGTATCATGCCGAAGTCGATGAGGTCGCGCGCCTGCACCTTGCGCAGCCAGGCGTCGCGCTCGTCGCCCTCGGCGCCGGCCGACTGCAGCGGCGAGGCGTCGGCGGCCGCGGCGGCCAGCGCGGCGCGCCGCCCGCCGCTGCGGTCCCACGCGCCGAAGCCCAGGTACTTCTCGTTGCTGCGCCGCTGCACCAGCCTGCGGGGGACGACGGGCTCGGCTTATGCTTTCCTTTAAACGACGAACGCCCGGACGCGTCCCGTGTGGGAATCGAACCCGAGACCCGTCACAGCTTAAGTTGCAGCAATAAAATTTAAAGCTTAAGGTGTAGTGATAATAATAGGCCGTGGGTCGTGGGTTCATTTCGCACACGAGACAACTATCTGTGTAACCTACAATTAATTGTTACGGATCTGGGTGTTTGTCCATATAAAAATTATCTATGTGGAACGTCCTTTTGGCAATGTTTTCGAAGGTAAGATTACAGTAGATCTTTCTGTGTCGCAGTGGTCGTTGGGATTTACTAGCTAACCCCTTTCACACAAAATACAATACAATAAACCAGCTAAAGGGTACAATGGGCTGACTTAATGCCTACATACGTTGTGAGCTGAGCGTTTTGCGCGTGCAAGTGTATCCGGTTTAAATGGCTCATGTAAGCCATAATGACGCCGGGGTCACAAAAGATTGCGTCTACTCGCTGATGCATAGAGATATACGTAAAAGCGAAGTGTTGGGAATGCAATACGTCCGAGCTATCGGCAGCATCCAAGCAATGGTGTGTGATAAAGAGTTAAGAAGCGTAGTTGGGCGTGTGCGGCTGTTAGAATAGTGGCAACCTGTCGAGGCCGTTGTAGGCGCCGCTGGCGACGAAGAGCACGTTGGTGGTGTCCACGTGGACGGCGTCGCCGCGCAGCTTCCTCGAGTTGCGCTCAGGCACCGACACCACGCAGCCCTCCAGCATCTTCAGCATCCCCTGCTGGACGCCCTCGCCTGCGACACACCGATATCACTTATGGGCATGGACCGTAGAGCCGTAGGTCGCCGGTTCAGATCCGGCTCGAAGGACCAAAACGGTGTTGGGGCTAATTTGTAACATCATTTATGATGTTATAATTTATTAGAATGACAATAGACTTTATTACGAAATTGATATAGACAGAATGATACACTATGATATGATAATTGCTTGATGACCGAACGTGAAACTCACTACCTGACACAGTATATTTTAATGCCTACTACTTATTGGTAGACTTTAGGTATAAAGCCATAACCTGTTGCTATCACTTGGTAGTTTTGGTAAGGGTGGGAGTTTTTTAACGATCAATAAGACATTTGACAGTCCATCGTAAAGCTCACCTCCGACGTCTCTCAGTTGGTGAATGCCGGGAACTGCGCCAATCTTGTCCACCTCATCCAGGAACACGATACCGGTCTGCGCTCTCTCGACACTGGGGAAGGGAAACGATGCAATTCTTTTTTTTTTTATTATTTGCAACTGGCTAGCACTTGACTGCCATCCCACCTGATGGTAAGTGGCGATGCAGCCTTTGATGGTAAGCAAAAACTTATCACTCTGTTACGTTTAGGACGGAAAGACGGTTGTTCCATTCCTTCGCTGTACGGATGATAAATGACGAAGCAAATCGCTTGGTTCTTGTTAAAATTTATGTGTTAGAGGTTTATCCGTTAAAACCGTTTGGCTTTTAGATTTCGTTCAATTTAAACTCTTAATAATCTGTACCAGACACGTAAGTATGGCGGTATTGGAATACAGCTATATAGTTTGATGATCAGCTGTCGACGTCCTTACAAGACAGAATAATGTTATCCCACAGGAAGGATGCTATCGATAGAACTTTTAGGTCGCAGTGGTCATCGGGACTTACTAGCCAACCCTTCCCACGCAAAAACCGGTTACCATTATGGCATGCTTTTGAATCAGCCATGTGGCAAGCTCATTGTGCAGTGTGCTTAGGGAGACACGCTGAGTGCGCAGACGCAGTGTGCGTTAATATGCATAAAGCACGGTTAACTGTGGAAGGGCAACGATACAGTCTACATTGTTGCACAAAGGACAGGTCCGCCAGTGTCTTCACAGAAGATCGACGTGAAGTGGAAGTATTACATTACTAAAAGGTGGCAACGCAACGCAACTGCAACCTTACGGGTCTTGACAATGTCAGCAGGCGGCGGACACCGCCATCATGTTTGCCACTTTCTCACATAAAAAAACAGGGACGGCGTCAAGCGCTCACCGGTGTGGGTGTGTGTGTGTGTGTGTGTGTGTGTGTGTGTGTGTGTGTGTGTGTGTGTGTGTGTGTGTGTGTGTGTGTGTGTGTGTGTGTGTGTGTGTGTGTGTGTGTGTGTGTGCGCGTGTGTGTTTGTGTGGGTCCTATCAAACGCTCACTTGAAGTTGGCGTCCTGCAGTAGTTTCGCGATGACGCTCTCGATGTCCTCGCCCACGTAGCCCGCCTGAGTGAGCGTGGTGCAGTCGCAGATGGCGAACGGCACGTCCAGGCACTGGGCTATCGTCTGCGCGAGCAGCGTCTTACCTGCAACACCGTTCGCGGTCACAATGCGCCTCGCAACAGCTTTTGCTGTTGCACGAATGAGCAAGGCCGTCCGGGGAAGCACCGGGGCCTAACGGAAGAGCGACGAAGTCGAAGTATGGTACTTTTGCGTCTAGTCTGGCGAGTCGGGTGACCGGGGCTCGCTTATTTTAAGCGTTGTCTAACGCATCAGCAAGCCCTCTGGTGTTATAATGTCCAGGGGCTGCCGTAATCCTACAACGTTGATCTCTGTTGGGGGGCCTCAGCTCGTTTTGTATTAGAACCAGGGGACTCCTGCACCACATGGGGTACACCATGGCTTCGAATTGTCTTGGTGGTTGTGAGTTCGAGTACCCAAGTATTTGTGTGATCCACAGATAATTTTTCCGGATCTGGGTGTTTGTTCCCAAGGAGTCGGTGCTGTGCTGATGCCACCCAGGTAGGATAAGTCAAGGAGGAAGATGGTGCGCGGAACTCACCGGATCCCGTCGGCCCCAATAGCAACACGTTGCTCTTGTCCAGTCGCAGCTCGTGCTGCTGCCGTTCCAGCACCTCGGCTCCACCGCCGCCGGCGCCGTGGCCCAAGTGCAGGAGATCTGTAATAGGTGTTCGTTCGACGGTGAGACAATTCGCCACCCACGGTAGTAGCCCACCTTCGATCACCATTCTCGCTGTGGTAGGGCCACGAATCAGGCTGTGCTGTTGCACGAATTGGCATGCTCGTCCGTGATAAACGCCCTCACAGAAGACTGGCATGAAGTGGAAGTATTTCGCGTTTCATCCGGTAAGTGAGGTAAACGGGGTCCACATTTCTGAAATATTATCTACGCACCTGCAAGTCTTCAGGTATTGTAGGTGTCTATGGGCGTTGATATTTACCTAACAACAGGTAAACCATTCGCTTGACAACTTTCCACATAAACAAAAAAAATAATTTGGGTGCTAACAGCTCTCGTGTCCTCAAACCCTCTCGTAAGCAGACATCATTGAACGTATCCTTACAACACGTTTGGCGGAGTGGAGCGGAGCCTGTCTCTTGCGCCAGAGGGTGTGGGTTCGATCCCCACTACTGAATAAATATTATGTGATGAAAACAGCGCTTTCTAGTGTCTGCATGCTTATGTATACACATCGATAACGTATATTTATAATTTTTGCCACTACCTAAGACTCAATAGTATGAGGTTTTCTTAATTTTAGGACTGGATAACGTTTTGTAAAAAACACATGTGTTGAAAATATATTTGTTTTAATTATTTTTTATTATGGGAACGTGATGGATGCAGGTGGCTGATGGTCGTGCTACGTGGCAGTCTGTGTGGGACGCCAGTGTTCAGCGTATGGATTTTATCACGATGATATTCAGGCACAAGTATCACAAGTAGCGAGTCTTGTAATCGTAACGGGACACGTATGTCAGTGAAAACGTAACGAAGCGGTTAGCATTGCATCAACCTCCAACACACGGGACGCACTGTCCCGTTGTAATAAGCTTTTGTTACGCATATTGCGCATTACGCATACGGCATACGGTATACGCGGGCGCACCGGCAACTGGTACACCGACGGATGCAGGACGTGAACGCGGTTTTAAGTGTGCAGGGACTGATTAGCGAGGCGGGAGGGCGCGCGCTGTGTGGTCGGCTGTGCAACTAGTAGTACAACCACGAGCCGCTTTAGAACACACGGCGGCGAATTGCGGAGTGGTACGCGCGCTTTTCCGCAATCGATCGGGACTACATTTGTCTAATATATGTAGTCTTAGAATGCCCATGTGTCTAATATATGTACAGTCTTAGAATGCAAAACTTAATAGCCCAGTCGAATAAACACTGAATTTACTAGCAACTTCGTTTATTACAGTTTTTCGCGTAAAATTATTAAAACGAATTATTCAATAATAAAAAAATCAACCCTTCAATTCATGATGGCGGATAACGGCAGGGGTCTGGGACCCCGTGAACCTAAATATAGACTTCCAGTGACCCTTTTTTTGTTATGTCAAATCTTAACTCGACTGGGCTACTGGGTTTTTTTTACGTGAAAAGTTGACAAGGGAGCTGGCGGTTCACATGATATTTATGATTGGCGATTTTAGTACAAAACCACCTGAAGGTTTGCAGAGGCGTTGCCGCCAATAAAAAAGCGGGCCCCGCACCTCACCGCGAAACACAATTCATTTTGCATAACAAAAAAGGTAAATAGGGTCACGCAACAGTCTTCGCTGTTGCACGGATAGGCAGGTCCGTCCGGGTAAGTACCAGGATCTCACAGAACACCGGCTTCAAGTAGAAGTGTTATGTTTCTGCAATTTGTCTGGTGAGTGAGGTAGCAGGGCCCCAGTTTAATATAAGTGGCAACGCATCTGCAACACTACGGTTGTAGCAAATGTCAATGGACACCAGTTATCACTTAACATCAGGTGAACCGCCACCGTTTAATCATCCACCGTTTAACATAGACAAATATTCATTTTTTTTTTCTATGAACACATTAAATTATCACGTGCTCAGCGGTAAAGGAAAACATCGTGAGGAATCCCGTATATTTTCGAAATAATAACAAAAAAAATGGAAGATATTATGTGAACTCCACCAATCCGCAGTGGGGCCGCGTGAGTATTACGCCCTAATACCCTCTGTACAGAGGAGGCCTCTTCCAAGCATGGGACATATATAGGCTGTTTACTTTACTATAAACAGATTTGGCTATCAAAGGAATGAAAAAATACAAATTTTGACATTTATTCGATGCTCCAATCAGTTCTTAAGCAAACCTCTGCAGTTAGGCTTTATTTAACAGAACACCAAAGTAAAAGTAAAGATCAAGCTTGCGTTATAAATCACTTTAGAAAAGCCACATGGGGAAAAAAACTCTGTTTGCTTTATTTTTCAAACAATCGCTCCGTAACGAGCAATATAAAGTATGAAAAAGATAAAGCTTTCACTGGAGCGATGCGAGCTAGGGCGACAATGGAAACGCGAACAATGCCGCGTGATACAATGGACTAAGGATAGTACTCTATTCACGCCAAGATGTGAAGCAGCGGACGACGAAAAGGCTGAATGTTGTTGGTATATAGCATCTTAAACTTTTTAATGCCAAAATATATATTACTAACATTTGTATTACAAAAGCAGGCTATACGGGCCGTCTATGGCCCGGGTCCACATGAGTCGCTACGGCATATATTTAAGCAAATAAACGTTTTGACGCTCCCGTCGCTTAACATACTTGAGAACATCATGTATGTACGTAATAATATCCACCTGTTTACGAAAAAACAATTCACATCGCGTCGGGGCCGTGGTGACACTCTGGAAGTACCGAGGTTTAGATTGGCTAAAACCAGAAAGTCGTTTCTTGGAAGATGCATCAACTTCTATAATAAAATAGGTGACATCCACAAAAAACTAAGTATAAACAATTTCAAACAATTTGTAAAAGCTACCTTAATGGCAAGGGCCTACTATAATATCCAAGAATACATAGAGGACAAGGATGTTTGGAAATGACTCTTGCTCTGCACTTGCAAGACCCCTGGCTGCTGCTGATTGTATACCCAAATAAATATGTATAATTGCATTAAAATATATATACATGCCGGTTCTTCTCTGTGCAGGTCTAGTTTCGTGAACCGGTGGTAGATTTTTTGTTGACGTTCAATAACAGCTTAAGTTAGGCCTATATTGAATAAATATACTTTGACTTTGACTAAACTCACACAGCACTGTGATCGTCACCGAATGGTCACACAAAAGTAGACCATCACACACGTGTGTGCGTCTTTATTAACTTTTGTTTCAACAAACTGTCAATAGATGGCATTATCATACATTCTTTATAAGATTAAAACAATAGTCTATTTTTAATGTCTGTCTTAACATTATGTTTTTAACCTTATGTTTGCCAATGCAAACATAAGGTTAAATTGTTTTTGAATCTTTAAATTTGATGAATTATAACAGTTATGGCTTACCGACAAGAAACACCTTTGTGAAATTATATATGTATATATATCGATTACATATAGAAATCATCTGCGATTATTTACGAGCATCTCAATCTATGTTATAAACTATAACAATTTAAAAAGTACAAAAACTACAATACCATACGTATAACTTTTACCATATCTTCAAAAGGTACCCATTCTACTAGTGTTTCCGCTATCACCACAGTGTGAAAAGAACCTAACCTAATAAACGGATATGTTTTAAACGTTACATGCACCGTTAATGAAACGTATGAAAATACTGGATTTTTTTCCCGAACAAAGAAAATTGTCAGATAAATCGCAAGATTAACTTATTTGCACTTGGATAACAAGTTTAACTGGTACTTTAGCAGGGGAAAGCTTTAGGTATCGGTTGTTTATTAATAGATTTAATATTGAAAAGTGACTAATGTGTATGGCGTAAATATAGGCTGCGGTCTACCGGAGACATACGGTCATTAGAAAGGGTTGATTTTCGATCTTGCGCCGGTCGCCTGTGCGGGTTCAATGAACCGCAAAGGTCTATTCCCACACGCTCCGGTCTACCCAGACGTTAGACGCCTCCGGTAGACCGTAGCGTGTATGGTGCACATTAGAATTTAGAGGGTCTCCCATGACTTTATAGCACAATTGCCAAGGTATTAGCTTCGGCGCTGTGGATCATGGGTTCGGTTCTCTCACGGAACGTGTATTTGTGTGATACAGAAATAATTGTTTCGGATCTAAGTGTTAAAACGTCCTTACAACATAAGATAATGTTATCCTACAGTAAAGGAACAATGTTTTCGAAGGGAAGACTATGATAAATCTTTTACTACCCCTTCCACATAAACTACAAGGTATTCTCGTAATTGTTAATAATAACTGATAAGGTAGAATGTATTCGTTAAACCAGAGAGATATCAGAATGAGACATTCCAAAAACCGAAGAGATTTTATAGTAGTAAGTGGTGGAAGAAGAGCTAATGCGGAATTGCAAAAAATTAACTCATCTAGTTAGCTCAAGACATTCAAGAGTTATTAGTGTTACGTTAACGAGTTAATGGCATAAAGCGTATGTCGGATATAATAAGAGAAAGTGTTAACACACTATTAGTGTCAAGATTAAAATAGTGCTAATTAGTGTCAAGATTAAAATATAAATGTTACAATTAATATTTTGTATGTACTTGTATGAATGTACAAGTCATTTACAGCAGCCGCTTTTTTTTAAGGTTGGCTTTTTTTAAACGCTAAATGAATGCTTAAATACTTTTGTTTTGCACGAGTTCATTATTTTTAATTACTTATTCGTTTCTCCAATTTTATTCAAGAACAAATGTTGTTTTTTTAGTACACATTCAAACTTTTAGGATTCCGTACCCGAAGGGTGAAACGGTTACTAAGACTCGTCTGTATGTCTGTCCGTCTGTCAACAGGCTTTATCTCATGAACCGTGTTAGACAGTTGAAATTTTCACAGCTGATATATTTCTTTTGCCGCTATAACAACAAATACTAAAAAACCGAATAAAAGATATTAAGTGGGGCTCTCATACAACAGATATGATTTTTCTTGATGTTTTTATAGATAATGGTAAGGAACCCTTCGTGCGAGTGTCCGACTCACACTTTGCCGGTTTCTTTTTCTTCCAATTCTCAAGAAAATTTTGACAATATCATTAGTATTCTCGCTGTCTCCGCAAGAACATACTCAATGTGAATTCCGCAAAATCCTATTACGTAAGTCTTCTCGCCGCCTATATGGCGATCACACTTTCATAAACACCACAATAACACACCTACATAACAGAAAAAAATAACGCAAAAAATCTTATTTCGCGATTGTATCTTCGTCGAACTTCAGGTTTTATCAGTAAAAACAATCTTTCTTGTTTTATTGTTACATTTTATTGTAATCATTTGTTTGTAAACACATATGAAACCACACAAAAGTGTATGGAATCGGACACATAAAAGCAACGAATTATTTTTTAACAAATTCCACTGACGATTATTTTCATGAAATTCGAACAGTAGTCGAAGACTTACAATTTTTTTTTATGTGAGGTGACAAGCTAGCATCCGCTTCACCTGGCAGGCGCCCATGGTCATTTGCAGCATCCATAAAGTTGCAGATGCATTTTAATAAAGTGGGCCCCGGTTACCTCACTGATCGGATGAAATACAGAAGTATAACACTTGCACTTCACGCCGGTCTTCTGTAAGATCGTGGTACTTACCCTGCCCATACGTTCAACAGCGAACACTGTTGAGTGACCTTACAGTAGATACAAGTGATACAATGTTTAGCCACTACCAGGATTTTTTTTTAAATATTTTTTTTTTAAATATTTAGGACACATTTGTACACAACATTTTCTAGTCCCAAACTAAGCAAAGCTTGTACTATGGGTACTAGAAAACTGATAAACATACTTAAACATACTTTTCTTTTGTAAATAAATACATATTATACATATAGAAACACCCAGACACTAGAAAAACACCATGTTCATCACACAATATTTTTCCAGTAGTGGGGATCGAACCCACACCCTCTGGCGCAGGAGGCAGGTACACTACCCACTACGCCATTCGGGTCGTCCATTTGTACCTGCACCTTCCCATTACGCGTCAAGGCATTAGCCACTGAGCTAACCGGTCGATACGCTCACCGCGCGAAACTCTCGACGTCTCATTACCTCGTCTTTATTGCATTTTTAGCAAAAAAAAAATCGACAATTTCACCGACGCATTCCAGGTTTCAAGTCCCACTAAAAACTAGCAGTAAAACTAAAAAATAAATCTCTACGAGTGTCGGTCTTAGCAGAGACGGAAGTATCGCTAGCGAAAGTGCGACGAATCGATGTAACCGTCAAGGAGAAAAAAGTAATAATACTGTCCACGGTTCAAGCGATGCGGCGCGAATTAGAAGGGATCGGTTACGCTGTGGCGAATGACGATCGAGAAGCTTCGAGCGAATCGAGATTTTTGTTTAGATCTTACTATCGCCTTGCTACCCCGGCTTCGCATGGGTACAATGTATTATACATATAAACCTTCCTCTTGAATCACTCTATCTAATAAAAAAAACCGCATCAAGATCCGTTGTGTAGTTTTAAAGATCTCAGTGTAGATAGGGACAGACAGACAGCGGGGTTATTTGTTTAATACTATGTAGTGTACTCCCACAAGGTGGTCGGACGACCTAGCCAAGATCGCGGGGACGCGTTGGATGCAGGCCGCTAACGACCCGTCGAGGTGGAAGTCAATGGGGGAGGTCTATGTTCAGCAGTGGACGTCTGTCTGTCTGTCCGTCTTTCAGCAGCCTGTATCTTATGAACCGGGATAGTTACAGTTGAAATCTTCACAGATGATGTATTTCTGTTGCCGCTATAACAACAAACATTAAAAACACACAGAATATCTAGCCGTTTTTATAGATAATGGCACGGAACACTTCGTGCGCGAGTCCGACTCGCACTTGGTCGGTTTTTTTATATAAAATCTGTATGCATCATTCATCGAAGCCGTTTAAAAGTATGCAGAAAATTGTATATATATTATGTTTTGCTCATAATATTTCTCCAGTAGCGGAGATCGAACCAAAACCCAGACGCAAGAGATAAACTCCGTCCGATAAAACCACTACGTCAATGGGATCACCGGAATATGTTCGTAAGCAGTTGGAAATAAACTATACCTTTGCACACTTTTAACCGTCCAATTAGTCAATTAGTCTCACTTTCTGAGAAGCCGCGTACCATTATTTGATACACTCAATACATACACTCCCAAGCTAATCATTCACTCGTCGGCATATTTTGAAGGCACCAGATATACCGTTGCAATGGAGACGAGTCCTTACGGTAACAGCGGGGGCTGCCACCATACCACGGGCCATGCTGCCACTCACCTCTGTGCGTCTGATTCAGCGGGTGGTTGGCGTCCGCCGTGGCGCCGCTGGTCACGTTGTTGTAGATCCTCTTGTAGTGGTTGTAAACTGCCACAGAGAGCACCTTCTTCGCGTACTCCTGGCCGACCACGTGCTTGTTCAGATACTCGAAGATCTTCTTCGGCGGGGGCGGCGGCTTCCTGGAAGAACAGAACGGATTAGATACGGCTTCTATGTGCAAATTGGAAACCGAGCTGCCGGTACAGCCGACGTGGACCGCCGCCCACGGACCATTGGACACGTTGCAATAAAGTGGGCCCCGGTTACCTCACTCGGCAGAAGTATAACACTTCCTCATCACGACGGTGTTCTATGAGGTTGAAGTTCCACGGATGGACCTGCCTATTCGTGTGACAGAGAAGACTGCTGCCTGGCAACGGGTATCAGTGACGCTTATGACGAAAGTATTGGTCTGTTTTATGATTTTACATTATTTTTTTATATTGCTAATCTCTGAACTAAGTTGATACATTTTTTTGACACGGCAGACGTTGTCCTTCCTGTACATACGTCTTATATACTACAACTTATAGCTAAATAATAGAAGACCGAATTGTGAATATAAATTTATGAACCATTCTCGAATCCACTTAAACATACTAAAAATTTTCATCAAAATCTGCCCAGCCGTTTAGGAGGAGTTTAGTGACATACTCACGCACAGAAGAATTATAAATATATATGTATAAAGACTACGATGTCACCGCTTGAGTACGTAGAGGTAAACACGTAAGTGTTTATAGCACTAGGGTTTACTACTGACTTTGTGATGTATACTGCGTGCATCACCATACCTTTATGTCAATGTGGGATAGATTAATCGACCGAAGTCAATGAATGCCTTTAATGCATTGAGAATATTAAAATTATGACGAAATAAAGGTCTAAAACCAGGGCGAGCATTTGAGCGCTTGCAAGTGTTAAAATGTTGTGTGTGCAGTTTTATGGCACATTACAAAATGTACGGCTTTGCCTGAACAGGCGTATATTGATACAAGCAAAGCTTCCGTGATTCAGCGAATCTCGAGTGGGCATAGGTTATGAAAAAAAAATTAAATAGATCGTGTCATAATACGATCTACTTTTTTTTAAATTGTGTAAGTGACAGGCAATGTATGAGAACCAGCACAGATGCCTTCAAGGTGTCCGAATCTCGTTTACAATTAAAATTTCGTCTCCTTTCAGGGTTGTTCAATCGAGCAACATACGACCGCGAGACTAAAAAATTAATACTTTCATAACATCGGAAATAATAATCACCGAGTATATCTAGTTAAAGTTAATGACACTCATAATTTCTAAACGCAAAACTGACGGAGCGTCACGTTCGCGATAGTGATGTTCCGCAACGTTATTCATTTTATCGCCGGCCATTAGTCAATGACAAGCGCCGCCGAAAACAACGACAGGTTCGTCGACCGCGACGGGTTCGTTTAACCGAGACGACATTGTCGTCAGATCGCGAGATCATCACGGACATGACAGTGAGTCGTGACTGTTTCGTTTCGCCGAAACTCTGATGGATCGATCGTAATTGCAAATTTTCAGGGCTCAGTTATTGCCGAGTTCGCTTAAATTTATTTCGATCAATAAGTTATATATTATATATAAGTTATACAGCGTGTCGTTACCACCGCGACAATAAATGAACACATATATAGATAAGTTTTTAAAATTGTATTAAGCATTTACATTCTTTAAACATCAATATTAACCCAGTTATTAAATTTTCCAAAACAAACAATTTTAGAACACCCTTACGTATAAAACTGTAACGTAAGGTCACAAAGCATATGAATGGGTTGAATGAATTTAAAAGAGACAAAACATACTGTTAGAAAGAGAAGCTTGTAATGCGACGCTGGGGCGCGAGATGTATAGAATGATACAAATGTTGTTTCTTTTTTACTTAATTAGTTTGTTTGAAAAATATTTTTTTTTAAATTATGGATTTTGTTTAACGTTAATATATTTTTATTGTCGCGATGGTAACGACACGCTGTATAAATAGGACTAGATGTCACTCTTATATTGTATGTTGTTAAAAGAACAATGTAAAAACTTATTACAAATATAAAAGAAATAAAAATGTTAAATATATATATAGCAATAGTAAAGTAATAGCTTATATAATGGGTGATGCGTACAAAACGGCAACATAGGGTGGCAGGGCCACGCAGCAATTTTCACTGTTGCACGAATGGGCAGGTCCGTCCGGGTAGTTACCACGACCTCACAGAAGACCGGCGTAAAGCAGAAGTGTTACACTTCTGCGTTTCGTCTGGTGAGTGAGGTAGCCGGGCCCACTTTAAGTAAAGATTGCAACGCATTTTCAACCCTACGGGTGTTGCAAGTGTTTATGGGCGGCGGTTTTTAACATTAAGTAAACCGCCAGCTCGTTTGCCACTTTTTCACATTTCACACTTTTTCACAGCTCTATTAGTTTATTAACCGACTTCAAAAAAGGAGGAGGTTTCTCGAGTCGACCGTATATATTTTTATTTCTTTTTATGTGTGTTCGGAGATAACTTCGTCATTTATGAACCGATTTTGATGATTCTTTTTTTATTGGAAAGGAGATATCCCAAGGGCGGTACCATGATAAGGAAACCCAGACCTGATGATGGCATCACAGAGAAATCGAGGGCAAGACTCAAATGTTATAGGTGTTGACAATGCTTTTAGTTTCCTGTTCTAAGTGGTTTTTTTTTGTTCAAACTTATTTTATTTATATAGATAGATATACTCATTGGTTACCATTAGGAGCCGTAATTGCTCCGTGTTCGGGCGCTCGTCTTAAATTCAAAATGCTCGAGCAATCTGAGTTCGATCCCCTATACCGGCACCAATGAAAATGTTAAAGTGCCGATGTATTACGTGCTCAGATGTGTAAATGTATAGGCTGTTGCTTTATGACACTTAGTGTTCCGCTGTATTTCTTCGTCAATATCATTCAGGAACAATACCGAATACGAAGAGATTACTTCCCCGTGTCATCTATCTGAGACATGATTGTAGACAGCAAAATAAACGCATAATATTACGCAAGCTGTATTCAAAGTCACCGTCCGCCTTTCCCTTCGATTGCAATGGTCTTCAAGGCGGGAAGCGAGCGGCAACCGGCAAAGCCTACACCCAATGCCGTCTTAGGCCATATCGTGGCCCTAGGGCACACAAAGGGGGCCCCGATGGAAAGTGAAGAGTGAATTACAAAAATATTTTTCTGCTATTATCTTATAATTTTTATTTTTATAAACTACATAGAATAAAACAAAGTTGTCCCGTTGCCTGTCTGTCCCTATGTATGTTTAGATCTTGCTTGACGCGGTTTTTTACTAGATAGAGTGATGCAAGAGGAAGGTTTATATGTATAATAATACACTGAACCCGTGGGAAGCCGGGGCGGGGCTCCTCTCGGAATATATGTACCAAAAATAGAGGAAGTTTTAAAGTTTAGGCCACGTGACGACAGGGCCCCCCTGGGCACGGGCCCCGTGTGCCCTTATGGTAAAGACGGTACTGCCTACATCCCCGGTAAACATTACACGGGTGATGATAAAGCGCTGTCCAATTTCTAATAACAAAAAAAATCGAAAGCTTTTTAAAGTTGCGCAAGTGCATGACAAGACACGCGAGAGAATGACAAGTGTCAAAGCCACAACTGTTCTCTTCCGTTTTCCATAGACAGGTAGCGTGTATACGTGGTATAGACACGCAACATTCCTCGCCGTTGAACGAATGGGCTAGTACGACCACAGAAATGACCGGCATGAAATGGAAGTGTTTCCTCTGATGCCTGAGGTAAAAAAAGGTAAAGTAACAGCCAATACATGTCCCACGGCTGGGCAAAGGCCTCCTCTATACAGAGGGTATCAGGGCATAGTCCACCACGCGGCCCCACTGCGGATTGGCGGACTAAATTGATGCCTGAGGTAGCCAACGTTTACTGTATTAAAGGGTGGCAAAGCGTCTACAACCCTACGGGTGTTGCAGATGTCAATGGGCGTCGGTTATCACTTAAAATCGGACGAACCGCCTGCTTATTTGCCACCTTTTCACATAAAATATTTTTTTTTACATAATAAAAAATATAAATATAAATAAGTCCCAAACTAAGCAAGGCTTAGTTAGGCTTATACTATGGATATGGAATGGGTTACTGATAAACATACTGAAACATACTTTTCTTTTGTAAATAAATACATATTATAGATATGTTCTCGGACACTAGAATAAGACTATGTTTATCATGACACAACATTTTTTCAGTAGTGAGTGGGAGATCGAACCCACAACCTCTGTCGCAGCAGACAGGTACACTAACCACTACGCCAATTGGGTCGTTGTAATGATTAAGCGCTATCCAATTTATAATTAAAAAAAAGCTTTTAAAAGTTGCGCAAGAGAATGACGTGGCTAGTAGTGTCCAGTTACATGCAACTTGACTATGGAGACGTGTTCACTGTAGTAATTCCACGGAACAGCTTCTACTGTTGCACGAATGGGCAAGGCAGCCTCGTCCTGGGTGGTACCGTAGACTCGCAGACGACAGGCGTGAAGTGAAGCATTGTAACTTCGCGTTCCTTCCGCTGAGAGGTGATAAGAGCCCTATTTATGGAAGGTCGGTTACACGTCTGCTACTCCCAAGGTGTCAATGGCGACGGTAATCACTTAGGTGAACCGCTGGTTTGTTGTCCAACTTTTAAGATAAAAATTAATGTAACAGCATGTCCCATTGTTGTGCTAAGGCCTCCTCTGTAAGGGGGAATTAGGGCATAGTCCTCATGGATGTTTTCCCTAACCGCTGCGCACGATATAATTCAGCACTTAAAATTAACAATTTCATTGGCACCGGCACCGGGATATTCTTGCAGTCATTTTCTCTTTTCAATGCACAGTTTTATGATAAAACTGGTTTTTATTTAGTGAAAAGTACCATTGTAATATCTTGAACAGTTCCATAATATTGGCCGAGAGTGTTTATTATAATCTGTGCAGAATAAATTATAATGTAGCTTCTAGTAGAATTGAGGATACTCGAGCACGAGCCATCACGGTTTTCAACTTTTAAAAAAAACAATTCTCTATTTCGAAACATTCGAAGTGACAATGCAAAGTCTATGGACGCAGAAATCCACATACGTGTCCATCTACATCCACAAGGCCACGGACCGGGAAAGCCCCGACGAGACTTAAGACGGTTCACGCAGAGCAGTTTCGTAACGCGGCCCTCGTGTCTATCTATCGCTTTTGTGCAAGTTGCGGACGCGAATGCAATGTCACGGTTGGTCACGGTTGGTCACGGTTGGTCACGGTTGGTCACGATTGGACACGGCTGGACACGCGATAGGTTCTTCGTGCAACACTAGCGGGGCTGCGTGCGGAACGGACCGCCTAGACGGTTGTTTACGGTGGTAGGACCGGTGGGGTAGGTAATCGAAGATAGGTGAAGTCCTCCAATCCGCAGTGGGGTCGCGTGGTGGACTATGAACATATACAGGGTGTTACATTACCGCGCGCATTTGCTGCACTATGGTTTGCATTTTTGGTGGCGGGATTGACTTGCACTCGAATTGTCGTTATTGATACGGCGGCACCTGATAATGTCATCGCATATCCTCCTTAGACATTTCTGAGCACAACTTTGAATTTAATAACATAAAACATAAGAAAAGGATACCGTATACGAAGGGTGAGTGTGCGTGATGGAACGGAATGACTAGAGATCAATTATGAACCGTAATTTTCAAATTTATATAATGTATACTCGCTGATAGCCCGTTAACAATATATCAACATAGCCACCGGTATCCAAGTAAGTAATTTCCCGAAGCATGTATTCGCACGAATAAATATAAAAACATACATCAAAATGTTCAAGACCAATATTGTGCCGTGTCTTGTCAGATGATCTTACTTTCGGACCAGTTCCGAGATAATCCCGACGGAGCGGTTTAACACAACGTTGCCGAAACTGTTACATTGCCAACGGGTACGCCGGGACCTTCGGATGTTTTTAGGGCAACATCAAAACAACGCGCCTCACTATAAGGTCGAACCGAGAGCTCGTTTTCGCCCGCGGCTCCGTGCGCTGCATGGGCGATATTACGAAATTTATCAATTATGAAACACGTATTACAATACTCGTGAACGTATACTTGACTAATGTGATGTCTGACGGTGACTTAATCGAGTAATATATCTCGCTTCGGCTGATAAAGATAAAATTACTGTGGGGCCCTACCACCCTGCCACCCACGTCAGCCCTGTAGTCCCGGGCTCATAGAGTAGGGCTAAGGTATCCCCTGCCTGTCGTAAAAGGCGACTAAAAGGGGACACGGATTGGCAGCAGCACGAAGTGGTCTCGTGCTGCTGCAGGAGGATGAGGGAATCGGAAAAGGTTTATCCTTCTCCGAGGCGTGCTCAGGCGTAGTACCGAGGGACACCAGCGCGTTCCATGGGAGATCCTGGAGTCCCTCCAAATGTTCGGAAGGTGGCCACAGACGCGGTTTTATTGGGTAAGAACCCCCCCACAAAACCCTGTTTAAATGTAAGGGTACAAAAAAAAAAGTCCACGTAACGATGTTCGCGGTTGCGCGAATGGGCAGGTCCGTACGGGGAAGTAACACGACCTCACACTTTATGTACTTCTGCTTTTCATCTCGTGAAATGAAAAGGTGGCAACCATTCGGTAATGGGCGGCGGTTATCACTCAACATGAGGTGAACCGTCTGCTCGCTTGCCGTTTTCTTACATCAAGGTATAAAAATAGATTACTTTTACGGTATGGTAGTCTCGGTGTTCATTTAGTTGCACACATAATGACCTCTTCATGTCAATTTAACAGTTTAAGGAGTCAGGAACGCGCGAACCACGATCACACAGTAACTACGATCAAGATAGCTAAGCAAGACGCATTCGAGACGCGGAAGAAACATATCTTTACGCTTTCATTGTGCACTTTAAGTTTTTCTCTGCGTAACTATCTGATTGTAAACACAGACGGAATCGTTGATAGTAAACACCTCTACATAAGCCTTTAAAGACGATTTGAAGATCTGTTCCTATTTCATCATTTTTTTTAAACATAGCCCTTACTTTAGGATAACATCATCGTTGTAAGGACGTTTTACAAACATAAATCTAACGTGGACAAACACCCAGATGCGATACAACTATCTGTGGGTCACACAAATAGTTGTCCCGCGTGGGAATCGAACCCGCGAACCCCGACGCCGACGCCGAAGCCCATACCATGGCAACTGCGCCACGGTGTCATCAAAAAAAGAGAAGATTTGTAGACCGGCCAACTGTTTTTACCGAGTAGTAGGCAAGCGAGCAAGCGATTTACCAGATGTTAAGCGATAACTGCAGCCTGTAGACGTCTGCCACGCACGTAGTGTTGCTGACACCTTGCCTAATTTTAATAAGGTGGGTTCCGGTCACCTCACTCAGCAGACAAACGAAAAATTATAACCCTTCCACCGCAAGTTCTATGATGAAAGTGACGCATGTCCATACTGCGCGGCTTTAAAAAATTGTTCCGCTTTTAATTACATGACATAATTATATAGGTGAATGTGACAGTTGATACAGAACGTATGATACGGAAAGAGATGGCATACCGGCGTTAGTTGAGCGCCTTAGTTTCTAGATATCTACCTTGTGTTGCAATATAATATCAATGATTTTATAGTAATAATCTGCACTTAAGATGAAATATTAAAATTCGTAGACAAAGGTAGATATTTTTACCTGTTATTAGCCGTTTAGCTTAGGGGTTGAAAGCGTCTGAGCGCGAAAGCGGAAAGCGTGGGTTCGATTCCCGCAGTGGCGAGAAACTGTTCGTCCTTTTCTCTACAAATTTTAGTGCTCTATGCTGGATTCAATTCGGAATATTTTCAGACAGTATTATGTATATATGGAAATATTACTAGATATTTTAACGAGTTGGATAGATAACGACTGAACTCGAGAGTACAGCGACCCCACAGTCGATGCTAGCTCATTTTTCACACAATAAGATAATGCGATACCGAGTTTGAAAACACTTTACGCTATAAATCTAAAGGAGGATATTATGGTTTTACTAATTGAGTGTGAGGCATTGATCGAAAACTTACGTAATTCTGGACAAAGTGCTAGCGTTTTTTTTTTAAATTGAGAAGATGGTAAGCAAAAGGTGGCAACCGAGAAGGTGGCTTACCTGGTGGTCAGGCGTGTGACCACGCGGAGGCATTTACTGGTTGGGCAGGCTCGTCCGGGGAATTACAGCAGGATGAAGTGGAAGTATTGTAACTTCGCGTATCGTGCGGTGAGTGAGGTAGCATACGTAGCCCACGTTTCAATGGTTTGCAACGCACCTGCAACCCGTAAGGCGTTGCAACGCCCATGGACATCCACACGATACCTGTGTGGTACCAGATGCGTTGCCAACTCTCAAAACGGCGGTATCCGGTTACCCCGTCCACCAGGCGAAACGGTAAAGCTCCTCCACTTCACGTCGGTTTCATTAGGAGTTGGGAAGACTGGGTGGGCTTAAGTTGGCAACTAAGGAAGCCCTGATTTTTAGCCCCTCACCACTGTGGTAGGGCCACGCAACGGTTTTCGCCGTTGCAAAAGCGGGCAGGTCCGCCAGGGGAAGTACGACGACGTCACAGAAGACCGGGGCGAAGTCGAAGTTGGACGTCTTCGTCTGTTGAATGAGGTAGCCGGGGCCCCACTTTATTAAAAGGCGGCATCGCATCCGCAACCCTACGGGTGTTGCAAATGTCCTTGGGCGGCGGTTATCACTCGAAATCGGGCGAGCTTCCAGCTCGCTTGCCATCTTACAAAAAACAAACCTCTAAGACATTAAAGTAAAAGCGCAATATTAAACAACTAGCGGACCCAACAGGTGACATTTCGTAAAATCCGTTCTTAGCTGACCTCTACTCGGCGAAAGGAACATTCCTAGCAAATCTCAAGTCTCTACGCCTTATGGTTCCAGAGATATCGTGACGACTCAATCATCGGTGGAGATCTCTTATACAAATATAGAAGTTAGAAGAGGATATCGAACCTGTAGAATCCGGACTTGTTCTCCGCGTTGTCCTTGATGCTCTTCTTGGTGTCCACCTCGCTGAGGACCACGAAGAAGTGGTGGCACTTGTCGCACTTGACGAAGCGCGTGGAGCTGACGAAGGTCTCCACGTGGGTGCACGGGTCGCCGCACTTGGGGCAGGTGAGCACCCCGCTGGCGCCGGAGCCGGACTTCTTGCCGCCGCCGGACTGGCCTGCCCGCGTGTCAGTTCGTGGTCAAGGATTCGCACGTGGAAATATATTATACGTGAGCACATAAACATAAAAGACGGTCTATTGACCGCCCCATTGGCTGAGCGGGGAGTTTTTTTTTAATTAACGAATCACAAAACCGATTTAAAATATCTCGGTCTGTATTCGATTTATAGTTGGCTCTCAGTTCCATACGTATCTCCGGAGCTCAAGATCCAAAACCAATGAAATTAATATGGGACCGCATGGGAAGCGCCAGCTTTCAAATAAAAAAAGAATCATCAAAATCGATTCACCAGAATCTGTTGCGTGGCCCTACCACTTATATCGGTAGTTAGTAGGTTAACTGAAAATATTTCTCATGCCAGCATTTGTCAACACAACAACTAACATCTATTGGCGATTGCTCGAACTCACGGTCTCATAATATTGATTAGATAAAAAACTAAATCGATATGATAATGTACTAGGAGCGCATAAGACTAAGAATACAGTAGCCTAATTGAGTAGACAACTCATCAACATTGTGGGGAAGTTGACACCCTAATAAAATCACGTACATTGGCACGCGTTCCGCAATCTGTGTTAAACGTTTGGCGTTTTCGACTACGAACCCAGACACGTGTATGTGACTTATATTTGGCTTGGGAACTAGTGAATGGGCTAATCGGTATACTTGTAAACAAAGCGTATGCTCAATACAATACGCCATATGCTACCACACAAATATGATATCCTGGTACAATTGTAGGTGGAATCACACTAAATACGCATCAAGTATAAGTTTTGCCCCTTTCTAGTTCAAGTTCTAGAAATTTTATAGAAAAAAACCTTTTTCTAGCACAATGTCATCTTATATCAACGATTATGATACATACGGTCAAGTGACACTATTTTTTGGATTTTACATAGGTACTTTTGTTTAGTTCGACAAAAAGAAATTATAAATCACTAAAGATTTAAATAAGATCACCGGTATAACGTGATAACTCATCACTTAAAATTCATTGGTGCAATCACCAGGATTTGAACTCAGGTTGGTCGAGTTCATAGAGTTAAAAGCGAGCTCCCAAACACTGAGCTATCAAAGAAAATAACGAAATAGTTTTATACGACCATTAACTCTTTTGGGTGCCCACTTGCGTAGTAGTTTGTAAAATCCTAAGCTTTGAAAATCTTTAGGTGCATCTATATCAGATCTAATTTTGTCGCTACTACTCTGTAATGAACTTCTTTGTATACTTCTCTGGCCTACATTCGGTCATCGAATCGAGATGAAGAATTAATATTAGCGGACGTCGGCGACGGAAATAGCTGAGACCGGCAACACGTGTTGACACTAATGCCAAGTATTACTTTATACGGAGTGGGAAATGAAAACAATAAAAAGATGTGCCATGCACATATGGTCACAGACAAGCAAACCAATGGCGCTGTTGACGCGCTAGTTGATTCCCGCGGTTTCCTTTGCGTTGAATTAACAATGCATTTTATATGCAGAGGAACACACATCACATATATAACATATTATTGTAATAAAATACATATTATGAATAGAGTTCAAGCAGACAGAGATCTGTTTAATCTATATATACAAACATTTCGTGTCACGATGTATGTTCGCGATAAACTCCGAAACCACTGAACCAATTTTTATCAAATTTTGTTAGTATTTGTTGGGGTTACGGACTTGGGAGATAGGGTAGTTTATATCTCAATTATTGATCTCAATATTTGTTATTGCAAATTATTTGTTTATTAGATGACAAAGAGCTATATGTGAGGATGGCGCTATGCTAAAAGTAGAAACGTATGGACCTAGTATAATTGGCGCTGACGAAGTTACGCGGGCCAGCTAGTATTAATATTTTCTTTTAGACAAGAGGTAAGTGTTAGAAATAAAACTTAAAACAATTAATTGAAATCAATCCAATAGTTTTGCCGCCCACAGCCTACCCAAAATTCAGTGCGATAGGCTCTACTGTGGCCAGATTTTCATGGGATACTAATTGGTGGGTTTTTTTATACGTGAAGGTTGCAAGCGAGCTGACGGTTATCCTGATGTTAAGTGATAACCACCGACCATTGACATTTGCAATCGTCATTCGTGCAGCAACGAAGAATTGTGCATGTCACTACCACAGTTATTTCATACGGCGTACTATAAAAATTAATACCTACAGAAAAACTACAATTACATATAATTCTTGACAATAACACTTAATGTATTCAGATGGATGGGCACAACTCAAACTTAACGATGTTTACTAAACACTATCCAATCTGGGTCAAGATTTTACGTCGTGTATCAATAATGCATGAGTTTTATCGATCCACTTAAATTTTTACATGTTATTCATCAAAGTTATATTGTATTATTTATTCTAAATCTAAATAGATAGTTTGCATAGCTTTACATTTTTGGGTATATTTTAGGAATAAAATGAGTACGATTTTCGTTTCAGAGTGTAAGGTTAGGGCGAAAGAAAGAAGGGTTTGGGTGGACTGTGTGAAAAATGATATGTCTTTGAATGAGGTGAGTACTAAACTTCTCATGACGAAAAAAGTGGAAGGGTAGTAAATGATGTGCCGATCCCACCTAATGTGGGACACTGATAAGAGATGACGGAAGATTTTTAGAGGCCTTTGAACTACTTATAGCAAGCAAAGAAGCACATCAAATTTAGCTAATATAATTGAATGACACAACTTCGCTAGATGTTGCTGCATACGTGTATGTTCGTTTATATAATGTTGATTTTATTGCTCTAAAAATCCTGGACTCTGGAGTCGTGTCTGTTTCATTCACCAGCTGGCAGTTTGTGAGTTACGCGTGTGTTTTCGGATCATCTGGCGAGGGGCGCGTATAAACAAAGCCGCATAATGGGACACGTGCGATTGACAATCGATGACGCAATATGGCACGGCGCCATGCACTCTTGCAGTCTATGCCGGGATCTAGAATGCTGATGCGACGGAAGGGCTGGCCGGCGCGATTTCGTACATACTTCATGTTCCGTTTAATTCATACTGTGGTTGCGCCGCGCAACAGTCTTCTCTGTTGCTAGAATGGACAGGTCCGTTCGGGGAACTGACACGACCTCTCAGAAGACACAGCGTGAAACGGAAGTGTTTGTAATTCTGCGTTTCGTCTGGTGATTGAAGTAGCTAGTGCCCACTTCATTAAAAGCTTGCAACGCATCTGCAGCCCTACGGGCCTAGCAAAAGTCCATGGGTGGGGGACAAGCTCTCTTGCCATCTTCGTTCAAAAAAGTTCTACAAATATTTATAATTACAAATATTTCTATGGAAGAATGTTTAACTTGGTATCTATTGACATACATATGCGGTTTTTTCAATAAGGGCTATAAAGATAGAAAGAATTTTTTTTAAAACAAAATAAAGGCAATAAAAGCCAGAAATTGTCATTATAAAGCTCGCTTTGTGAGCACACAACAGACCGTCCAAATTACCATGCAAGATAAGATAAAATGAAAATCCTAGCAAAAGAACATAGACACCGACTTACAAGGACGACGCTGTTGAAATAAAATAGCATCTTAATTGCAACATTGAAGAAGTTTGGATTGACTTGGGGTCCAATCAATTTAATTATTTCCACAGCATTATTTACACTGGTCAAGCGTTCGGTGAAGTAGACAAGTAAGTGAGTGTACAGTGGTGTAAACCATCGGACAGTACCGAGCCAAATTGGCTTGCAAGCTGCCTTGCAACTAGACCCAAATAGAATCGCTTTCTTTTCTTCGTTGCAAGTGCAGCCCTCGTGTGCCCTTGACTCCTGCATCGATGCGTGACACTTGCTTCGTCACTTATTCTAGTGTAAACAGTCAAATTAGTACAGTAGCCAGCAACGGGCAACAAAATTGCAAGTATATTTTAACGTTGCTCGACCATTTCGACAGAGAAATACCACCGTACTTGCTGTAGAGTACACAGCCACTTGTCTAGTGCCCGCCACTGGCCACTGTACTCGTACTCGCTGACGCCGCTGTCCTTGACCAATGTAAATCGTGTCTTATATTAAAGACAACAAGGTACTGTAAGCGGATGCGCCGCGGATCGTACATAATGAATATTGTAAAAAATTTGCCCGGATAACCAAAGACTTAAGTACTTCTGTCTGGCCTGTGACTACAGACTGTGTGGCAACATCGGAAATATGATTCAAAATTAAACGTGATACAAGTAAAATAAAAGTGGACCGGAACGAAACAAGTAAAATAAAAGTGAAACTGAACCGAAGCGAACGCATAAAAAATTTTGAAAATCGGTTCATGAATGACGGGATTCCGCGGTAGCAAACATACAATGCAATACAACTGAATTGAGGATCTCATTTTTAAAGTCTAAATGTATAAATTTCTTTTGCTTAACAATGTTTGGTACATATGTATTCGCGTAAACATAATCTGGTATCTATCTTAAAAGGTTATACAATTACAATTTAATGTACACCAATTTCTAAATGCTAGGAGGTTTTGAAATATGGCACACATTAAGGACCGATGGTAAAAAAATAACTTCGCTACTAACACGGGTGGGTGACCGTGAAATTTTATAGGTTCTCGTGACATGTTCAACTGTTGTAACGCCAGCGTTGTAGACTCAACTGTCGTTAAGAGAAACTACGCGTGAATTGTATGTATGTAAAACGTCCTTACAACACAGGATAATGTTATCCTACTATAAATGATGATGTAAGCTTTCTAAGGGATAAGCTGAAAATCAGCACTAAAAAATTCTACGAAATCGCTGAGCTTATTACCTTTTTGCCAAAATATTATTTATATAGTTTTTTTTGTGTATCATAGTTTGTTTTATATCTTTTTTTTTTGTTCATATTTTTCTATGTATTTGGGTTATGGCAAATAAAGTATTATTATTATAAGGGCAGTTTACGAGCGTGTTTTTAAACAGACCTCAAAAAAGGAGGCTCACAATTCGGCTGTATTTTTTACGATTGTTACCTCGGAATTTCGTCAATTTTGGACCGATTTTTAAATTCCTTTTGCATTTCATTCGGCTGATTTCATTGGTGTATTATAGACCTTCAAATTCGGAGAACTCCTTAAAATCAAGTAGAAAATGTTTCTACTATGATTTCGGTTTGGTTATTTTTTGTTAAAAAATTGTACTTGTTTAGTTTTTAAAACGAGTTAACCGGTAAAACGATGTCTTTAGTTTTTAACGCAAAATTATTGAGACAAAAAAGTTAACTATAGAATCGATTTGTAACTTTTTTTCTGTCACTTCAAATGAGAAAGAGTATCTCGCTGATAAGGGCGGGTCGTTGACCTCGGGGTCAACAGCTGACATTGTGATGGAGCGTCTTTATAAATAGCGATTGCAGATTAACATTACACCTATTTCTATTTATATTATAATTTACGTTTCTTTATGCCTTTGCAAAATACAATAATAATTAAATGAGGCACTGAAGGAGAAATCATGAAGTTTAAATGGGTATATATATTTCAGAACTTGCACATATTTTTATATTACATACGCACACCTAGTGAGTATACACACTAATTATACACAATAACAAATAGGTTCACATGGGAAGTGCAGGAAAAGAAGAAGGTAATCGTGTACCGGTTTCAATATAACCAAATGTGGCAAATAATGGCAACTGCAGATGCCGGTATGTGGCCCAACTGTGGTCCCACGAATGGGCAGGCTCGTCCGGAGAAGTAACTCACAGAAACCGGCGTGTTGTGGAAGCATCATACTTTCGCGTTTCGTCTGATGAGTGAGGTAGCCGGGGCCCACTTTTAAGGATTAGCAAGGCACCTGCAACCAGTCAGGTGTCGTACGTGTCCATCAATGAACCGTAAAATTAATTCGCCAACTTTGAACACAAATAAATACCAGGTCAGTCGCTGGTTCGTTCCCTTAAAAGACGCGTAAGTGATGCTGAGGGTCGCCCACCTGTTGTGGTATCCTTGGGCGGTCCGTGTGGCGTGCCGCTGGCGCCTGGGGGCTGCTCGCTGGTGCCTTTGCAAAGTGCCGTGCAGGTGCTGATAGGTCTTGAGCAAGCGCGCCTCACGGAGCGGCAGGTCTGCACTCCGCCTGAGTAATAATAATAACGGTTTATATAAACTTAACTTTCAACGGTGGTAGCGCCACGCAGCGGCCACGGCTGTTTCACGAATGGGCAGCCTCGTCCGGGTAAGTACCACGACCTCACAGAAGACCGGCGTAAAGTGGAAGTATAATACTTTCGCGTTTCGTCTGGTGAGTGAGGTGGCCGGAGCCCGATTTTCAAAACTTGCCAATAGATCTGCAAACCTAAGCGTGTTGCAAATGTCCATGGGCGGCGGTCATCGCTTAACATCAGGTGAACCGCCAGTTAGCTCCTCTCATAAAAAACACTGCTTTAAGTTTTTTTTTTTTGTGAATAGTATGATTATAAAAAGTATAATAACATATTTTTGCCAAGCGCGCAGACAGTTCACCTGATGTTAAGTGAACACCGCGGTTTGCAGATCTATTTGCAAGTTTTGATAAAGTGGGCTCCGGTTTCCCCTCACGCACCTACCTAGCTCACCAGACGAAACGCAGAAGTGTAACAATTCCAAATCACGCCTGTCTTCCGTGAGGTCGGGGTACTGCCCCGCACGACATCAGGTACGAATATATATACTAGCTGTTGCCCGCGGCTACGTCTGCGTAGACGACGGGTGAAAATGTAGGGTTGTATGTATTTTTGTATGCTGTATCATAAAAAAATAAAAACGAAGTTTTATCCAAAAATTAAAAAAAAATGTTAAGGGTGAACAACCCTTATCACTTAGGGGTATGGAAAATAGATAGTAGCCGATCTCAGACCTACTGAATATGCATATAAAATTTGGTAAAAATCAGTAAAGCCGTTTTTCGTAAAGGAGTAAGGTAACTAACATTATGACACGAGAATTTTATATATAAGATGATAATATTAATAGATGCTTTATGATGACTAGATTCTTTCATCTACATCAAACATCAGCCTAGCAAATGTCTTTCCTTTCGAGTTCTTTTTCGATACCGATTTCGAATAGCTTTCGCAAAGCGTGTGTTTTTCGTGTCTTCTGTTTTGATCGTGCGTATGCCTGGTCTTGATTCACGCAGCATGTTTCTGTCACTTTTAACCGGTATATTGTGTTTGTAATTTGCGTCGATGCCATTGGGTAGTCAGTCCATATAAGCATTGCGACCTAGCCGATCTATCGTTGTCTTCCCTCCGAAAACACTGCCCCCTTAGGATAACATTATCAACGACGTTTTATATACATAAAGAACAATGCCCATTTTTGACCTGATTGTGTATAGAAGTGAAATAAATATTAAAATTTAGCCAATTTCATTTTATAGTAATTACACTAATCACAATGTTAAAGAAGGTCGGGAAAAAAATATTTTTTGATATTTCTTTACGCTTATTTTACTTCAAGGGTAAACATATTACTATGTTTTGAACGCACCTTAACAATCCTTTGCATAGGACGTTCCATTTTTCACACTACCTACTTGACTGTATTCAACTTTTTCTGAGTTTTGTACGTGATTTTACGTTTTAGAGAAGTGAATAAGCACGTAACTAACAGTATTTGTATAAAAATTAAGATCAATCTTATTACTAGTATAGATTTATTAAAAATAAAATAATAATTAATGCAGCATGTAATAAAGTTCGCACGGTTGACGCTGTTATTAGTGAACTTATACTAGTTCTGCGAGTGACTCATACTCATTCGCCAGGCCCAGTATTGTGAGTATTTATGTTTATTATTTTTAATCTACCAAACTAACAAAGCTCCTATAAATTAAACCTGTGACATAACCTAACATGGCGAAGATCTATATATCCAAAATATGTAGTATAAAACTCAATATTCATGTTTTTTTTATAGAGATTACTGAGGAAGATATGTAGGGAAATCAATGAGTTTTTATGAGAAGAATAAACCAGAATTAACAAGCTGTGATGTTGCTCAGGAAGTGGTGAACCATAAGAACACAATATAATCCTTCAGGAAAAAAAAGTCCTGGCACAAGTTAAAAATCAACAATATTCATGTTTCTACATTTTAATATTTGAGTATAAAACTTGATACTATTACTCTAGATTATTTCTCTTTTGTATTTTAGATGTAAATTATTATATCCGTTAATTGACTGATGCTGTAATAATTTTAACCACAAATAAATACATAATTGAGTTTTTTTTAAAAATAAATTTTTAAGATGAATAATAATTATTGCTTTATTACTTCTTTCGTAGATAGTTTTTTCTTTTGTAGGTATCATAATAGATAGAATATGCCATTCATGCTGGATGTTGTAAGAGTGCTGCCACACATATCAGGCATGTTGCTGAAGTTTGTGGTGTTTCTACTACTGAAGATAACTTATTTTTTATGTTTCTGAGATTAAGTTATTAGTGAACTTATACTATTTGCGTTAGGTACCAAATAAGGCAAGCCAAATCCTGTTATGGTGAACATATTCGCTTTCATGAATCACATAGAATAGAAATATGTAGGGACACAGGGGTTTTCTAGGAATAATCTGAGAGGAAGTGGTGACATAACACTAATAAGAGGAAAAATTAAGTCCTGGCACATTTAAAGAAAACAATATTATGTCTACATTTTAATAGAAAATAATGTGTCTGGCAGAGCTAGTATAGTCGAATACTGTTGTAATTGTTTAGTTGGTTGGCGAACCATAGGATGTTGCACTCATGTTGTGACTAGTGTGGTACTTCGGATGAACTATCAAGAAAATATGTCTGTTATGGCAGAATTCTTGGATAACATAGTTATGACATTTAAGTGAAGATGATGATAATTAATAAAGCATTCCACTGTAACATAGTGTTTTATTTTTTCCCCCGTTTTATTAATCAAGTATTATAATTATCGATTATTATGTATGTAGTGCAGGCCAATGAAATGTGTAGGGCAGATAAATGATTTTTAGTTAGTACTTATGTGAGCTGTTGAAACAGCAGATGCTCTTCACTCAATTTATAGTGACAATAATCAAGTGTAAGCAGTGACGTAAGGGCAGTCGGTTTCTAGGAATTCACAAGTAAAAAAGACGTTTTAGACCTTAGATAGGCTAATATTATTACTTTAGAATAAACTTGAGCGTAAATAGTTAGTTCTAGGACATTTATTTCGTTATATTAGGTAACTGCAAATCCTAACCTAAAAAGTAACGAAAATTTTGGACTTCGTAGCCCAGCAATCGTAAAAATGACTATATGATATTAATTTACTAACTTAAAGGTAGTCTTTCTGCTATACCTTGTAACTATACATACACTTTCATTATCAGTGTATATATTTTTAAATGTGTTTTTAATGGACCTCGGATCAGCAGCGCCACGGAGTTATCAAACTAATCCTATACGGATGGTTGTTGCTCTCTCTCCGATTGGAAGTCGACGTGCACATACCAAAAGCTGCACGTGCATAAACGCGTTTTGAACACCATGCTATCATAATCGAGAGTATTGACAGCTGCGAGACAGGTCTCTTGTGGTAGGGTAGGGTATCAGGGCATATGGCACTACGCGGCCCCACTGCGGATGGGTGGACTCCATATATCAACGAAAAATATTTCGGAAACATCAGATTTCCTCACGATGTTTTCCCTCACCGCTGAGCTCGTTATAAGTCAGCACTTGAAATTAACAATTCCATTGGTGCCGGCACCGGGATGTTCTTGCACAGTCATTTTCTCTTTTCAATGCACAGTTTTAATTGTTAACAGTTGGATTGGAATGATGATAAAACTGGTTTTTATTTCGTGAAAAGTACCATTGTAATATCTTAGACCAGGGGTGAGCAACCTTTTTAATCAATGGGCCAATTTAAATTTCAAATTTTTTGCACATAATAATTTACGAAACTTTATTTATAATAAATATTAGAATAAAAAATTATAAAATAAAAAAAAGTAAAGATTTAATATACAAATTTTAATGCAAGGTAAAAACAAACAAGAAAAGAACAGAAAAACGAACAAAAAATATTTCGGTTCAGTATGTACTACCATTTTATTATAATTAATTTTATAACAATATATTGATGGGAGAAATTCGATAAAATAAATTCAATTTAAGAAATGCTTGGCGGGCCGCATAAACATGTTTCAGGGGCCGCAAGCGGCCCGCGGGCCGCGCGTTGCTCATCCTTGTCTTAGACATTTCCATAATAATAGCAGAGAGTGTTTATTATAATCTGTGCAGAATAAATTATAACGTAGCTTCTAGTAGATTTTACCAGATGCCTAAATTACGAAAGGAAATTCAATCTCATGTTTTATACATGACCTCCGAGTGTTGCAAAGAATGATTATTTTAAGGTATAATATGATATTTTAGTGAAATTAAGAAAAAAAATCTAACGTATATTCAGTTTATATAATTATGGCATTTCTTGAGATGATTCTCATTTCAGGTACTTAATAGGAAACATAAAATTTGTAGATACTCGTTTACAATTTTGTGAAATTGAACTGGTGATTACGGTGGTAGGGCCACGCAGCAGCCTCGGCTGTTGCACGAATGGGCAGGCCCGTCCGGGTAAGTACCACGACCTCACAGAAGACCAGCGTAAAGTGGAAGTATGACAAATACTTTCGCGTTTCGTCTGGTGAGTGAGGTAGCCGGAGCCCGATTTTCAAAAGGTTGTCAACGCATTTGTAACCCTCGGGTGTAGCAGATGTCCATGGGCGGCGGTATTCACTTACCATTAGGTGAACCGGCTGCTCGTTTGGCAACTTAACACATAAAAAAATATTTATAATAACATCACTATTCTCTAACCCTTAATTAACAACATGTGAATCATGTTGTAAGCGGCTTTGGCTGTTTTATATAACCGGCCGATTTTCATGAAATTTAGTATGTGCGTAGATTCGGGGGCGAAAAATCGATCTAGCTAGGTTTCATTTATAGAAAATGTCCTTTTATCCCTGAATGAATTTCGCCGCAAAAAAAAAATGTTATAATAGCTCGGTCGGTAATCGGGCGGCCCCGAAACAGACGGTCGCGGTTCGTATCGTATCACGATCAT